AATTGAAGGCCGGCTGGGGAATCGATGGCCGGCTGGGGAATTGAAGGCCGGCTGGGGAATTGAAGGCCGGCTGGGGAATTGAAGGCCGGCTGGGGAATTGAAGGCCGGCTGGGGAATTGAAGGCCGGCTGGGGAATCGATGGCCGGCTGGGGAATTGAAGGCCGGCCGGCCGGGCGGGGACCCCTTTTTTTAATGAAGCAAAAGAGGGGCGAGCCCAAAAAGGGCAACAAGGGACAATCGAACGGGTGTATGAGTTCGCAGAAGGTTTTTAAATCGTTGGAGAGCGTGCGAAAGGAGAAACTGAAAAAGCTGCAGGACAAATTCGAGCAGTGTGGTCTTGAAGAGATTAAGGAGGCGGCGGATGCTTCTGGTGTGTTTGAAGAAGATCAGAAGAAATGTAATGAAAAAAGTACAGGATCGGACTCGATGGCAAGTGCAAGGAAGTCATTCGCGAGTGAATTGCGCCGCGCTATAAATGATTCGGATGTGGTTATTGAAGTTTTGGATGCACGAGATCCCAACGGTTATCGATCTAAAGCGGTTGAGGAAATGGTGGTGAATAGTGGCAAGACTTTGGTGTTGTTGATAAACAAGATAGATTTGGTTCAAGACGTCGCTGTGGTGGAGCGGTGGGAGTCTTATTTGAAGCAGTCCTATCCAGTGTGCACATTCCGTGCAGCGACTACTGCAAGTCGAAGCAAAAATTCCACAGTCAAGTTTGATAAGAACAAGGCTACTAGGGCGAGTAGAAAGGTTCTAGAATCCGGATATAATCCCCTGGGTGCTAGTGACTTAATGAAATTACTCAATAACTACACCCGTGTAGGGGGTCAGAAAGCCGCAACTTCTGACCCTACACGCACTACAACCGTTATGGAGGATACAACCGTTATGGAGGATACAACCGTTATGGAGGATACAACCGTTATGGAACAAGAAACAATGGAAAGGAAGGGAGAAGCCCTTTTCAAGCCCATCGTGGTGTCCATCGTGGGCATGCCAAACGTCGGCAAATCCAGCATCATAAACTCTCTCTTACGGAATACAAACCGTGTCAAAACTGGTAACCAGCCTGGTATCACGAGGCAAATGCAGGCTGTCAAATTGACATCGAAAATTAAACTGCTAGACACACCCGGCGTCGTTATGGAAGAATCTTCAGTCAATGCTGGTAACGTGTTACGCAGCTGCGTTAAGGAATTTACCAGCGAACTCGGCGAACAAGCGGTACGATTGCTGCTAAAGAACCCTGTTTCTCGACAGTCAATGTTCGAACTTTACGGCATCAAGGTGGAGTGCGATCCTAATGCCGATGTGACCGAAGAGGATGTCACCACTTTCCTCGCACACGTGTGCGATCACCGGAAATTAGTAAGGAAAGGTGGACAACGCGATCTTACCACCGCAACACGAGTTATCATTGATGCGTGGAACAATGGTTTAATAAAGGGCTGGTGTGAACCGCCAGGTTTAATCACGCCTGGGCTATCTCGATCGGCAAAAACCACACCAACTTCTTGTACTAGTGCTATTGAAATCGTCGCCCGACCCACCCCTGCACTCGACCTCGATAATCTTTAGCTGCAGCGAGCTGTCTTTTTTGAGCATCCCATTCTTCCCACAAAAAAAAGCGCGTCCCCTTTACAAATAATCCGAGACATCCGGACTCGGATCCTTCACCCCCTGACATCTGGACTCGGATCCTTCAGCCTTAATAAGGTGTTTCACCCGGCACCCTGCCGCGTGTGTTGTTGTTTCCAACCGATGGGTTAGTACATTATGAGTCGTTTCGCGAATCGGTTGTCGCCTGTACGGACGTAGTCTATCATCTGAGGGTCTCTGTTCATAGCTAGGAGAGGTCCTGTGTTGAGAAAGAGAGCCTTGATGCTGGCGTCGATGCTAATTTCGAGGTGGTCGATTGAGATGAGTGAGAACAATTCTCCTTTCTGGCGCCGGACATGACTGGAGCCCTCGACGTGTGTAATGATCGTGTGTCGGTCGTTGGAGTCCGACTGGCTGAGAGACATCCGTAAGTCGGAGTCGGTGTTGACATCAATCCTCAGCAGCCACTGCAGAAACGTGCGTTCGTCTTCCGCGTCCTGGATGCTTCGTTCTAACTTTTCCCAGATTGTAGTCGCGACCTTTTGTGACAGCTTGGACGCAATCGACGGATCAGGAAAACGACCTTTCAAAACCCGACGTAGCCGATCTGACACAGCACCAACTACACCTCTTTTACAACGCAGCACATTGCGCCGCACCTCCACAGTCTCCTTTATCGGAATCACCAACTCAGACGCAAGCAGCGTCCGCACATCTATCAGACCCTTACAAAGACCTGCCGGCCATGACTGTTAACAATGACCGTTGTGAACCTTACCTTGGTATACAATTGGGAACTTTTTGCTGAACTGCGAATTGCAGGTGAGCATACTGGAGCTCTGGGTCGGAGAAATTGCGAGTTCATCCGCAGCCGGCAAAGGGAACGCCATCGGCAAAGGCGCGTACACAGGAGGAGTAATCATATACATCTTATCGTCATTGCTGCCCAAGTCGGACCAGACATCATCCCTATCAATCATCGTTTCGTCCCGGTCAGTTGGCGTACTGATTTTTAAAAAGAGCAGGCAGGTAGGTCATAACAACACGCCATACTAGTTTGCGCAACGGGGTTATTCGCAACGGGGTTATTCACAGAAGGTGAATATATCGCCCCAGCGAATGCAGCACCAGTGAATGTAGTACCTACCGCTCACGGACACATAAAAATTGGCACGACTCTGAGCACACTCTGAGCAATATTTTCGCCGCCATAAAAATGCACGGGTACTGGTCAAGAGTATCTCAGCTTATCTCGGTTTATATATTCGCCTTATTTGTATGCGGGGCGTGGACGTATGCTGGAGGGAAGTTTCAGGAACTAAGCTCCACAACTGACAAGCATCTTCTTACTCCAATTAAGCGGTTAGAAGTCTCAAGATTTGGAGGTCACTATCTGTATCATGTAATGCGTGGGATCACAGATCAATGCCGGCACGAGAAACAACACGTAGCGGTACATGTGCTTGTCAGAGTACCCGCAGACGCGCAACGCGTCACACACACAGTGTGCACACACACAGACACACAGTGTGCACACACTCAGACACAGTGTGCACACACAGTGTGCATACATATTGGCCTTATAGTCGGATGTCGCCGAGATTAAGTTGACAATGGATGTTGACCTGCGGGATGCTTTCACATGGAGCACTGACATTTTGTTCGTGTATTTGAGTCTCGGTTACCCTACTAGTTTGCGCCCGAGGAACGAAGTAGTAATCTGGGATCGAATAATTCGTAGTAAGGAAGAGGCGCAATTTACGATCAATGAAGGATTAAGTAAATACCATTTCCAGGAATACAGTAAAGGACATGTATACAATAAAACTATTGTGGGGGACCTACACTACTACCAGATGCCGAAGACGGGTTTCTTCCACGTAAGCCTGTCACGTTGCTGAACACTTCGCATACGGGAGGTCAACGGTTCAAATCCTCGCGCTGTGCGGTTCGTGGGGGCGCCTGGCCAACACGGGAAAAATGTATAATGAGGCGGTGATGGAGCGTCCGGTGCCCGTTATGACTGGCACTGTGCAAGCCCGACGGTGGTTCTGGCTGCACACTATGATCCATGGTTGGTGCAGATCCATCAGATCTAGGAGTCAAGATCTGGTTGGTCCTCGCGACTGCTATAGGCACGTTGCGGTGGATGAAACACGGCTTGTCAAACACGATTGTTGTGTTGTGGTCTGTAGTCGAGATAGTTCGCCTGATGGCATTCGCCTGATGGCGTTCCCTGTGTGTTCCCCCCCCCCCCTCCCCCCAATCATTCTCTGTGAGACGGTGGTTGTTTTAGAAGCACGAGTTTGGGCAGCCCTTCTCATTCAGTATGCCTAGTCAGTATACTAGTTCTCGAATCCGCTGACGGCGTTTGTTTTTTTTCTAAAATGAGACTAAGGCGCCAGGGGGTTTCCGCCGCACCTGTGATTACGTCGGCCTCGCCCGAGTCGTGGAAGCCTCCAGAATATTACAAGACAGATCGTGAGCGGACGGCGATCTTAGAGGCGGTGGCGAAGCACAATGTTTTGTTCGGCCATCTGTCTGGTGCTAATCTGGCTAAAGTGATTGGTGCCATGTTTCGCGTTTCCTACAAGGAGGGTGATGTAATCATACAGCAGGGAGACCCCGATGCCAGTCATTTCTATGTAATTCAATCCGGTCAGGTGGGTTACTATGTCACACGCGGCAAGTCATTACCACAATTCGTGGGACAAGCAGGCCCCAAAAATGGCTTCGGCGAACTCGCTTTACTATATGGCAGCCCCCGAGCCGCTACTGTCAAGGCTCTGGAAGATACAGAGCTCTGGGCTCTGGACCGGGAGACATTCCAATTAATGCTTACAACTTCAGAAAATACCAAAAAAAGGACCTATGAAGAATTTCTCGAAAATGTCAATGTATTTAGTAAGCTATGGGACAGGGTTCGAATCCCGAGGGGGGTCATGGGTCAGGGGGGGTCATGGGTCAGGGGGGGGTCATGGGTCAGGGGGGGGATGGGTCAGGGGGAATGGGTCAGGGGGAATGGGTCAGGGTTCCTTGTTTAGAAGGCCTCAATAGATTTGAGATTGTAAACTTATGCGACATGTTAGTCCTGGAATCCTATCGACCAGGACAATGTATCGTGAGTCAAGGAGACCACGGACAGAAGTTTTACATATTAGAGAAGGGGGAGGCTTGTGCTGTGGTGAGAGACGAAGCTGGGAAAGATTTATTGGTTCAGCATTACACTCGTGGAGGGTACTTCGGCGAGTTGGCACTCATCGGCGACGGCTTCCGACGGGCCAGTATTTACGCCATCTCTAAGTGCAAGCTTTTGAGCATTGATAAGTCCACTTTCGACCGGTAAGATACCCCCCATACGCCCGCCTGTCACCCGGTTGGTTGGTCACGTGTGTGGCAACACGTGTGTGGCAACACGTGTGCGGCAACACGTGTGTGGCAACACGTGTGCGGCAACACGTGTGTGGCAACACGTGTGTGGCAACACGTGTGTGGCAGAGTTTTGGGACCACTTCTTGACATATTCCGAGACAACGAAGAGGCATACAGGGAAGCAGTCAAGTCAAAACAGCGCGCTAGTAACGAATCATGTGAAGAGCTCTAGAACGACATATAATGAGCGGCCGGTTTCATCGGCAAGGCGTGCGCTGAATGATTGGGAGCAAATCGCTCCTGGGCAGGTACGACCTCCTCCTGGGCGGGCACGACCAGGGCGAGGCAAAGGGTAGGTGGAAGTGGAACTATGGAGCTATAGTGGATAGAACTATTAATCGGAATAGTTAGTGCTATAGTGGATAGCACTTGTGTCTACTCGTCACCAGGCCATGCAGCCGGCGACGCAATCAAACGGCAGAGAGTCGCGCGAGCACGGAAGTGTGAGCACGGAAGTGTGGCCAAGCTTGCACACGTGAGCGGCCAAGCTTGCACACGTGAGCGGCTACTTCCAACAGTCTTATTTTCTGCGGGTTCGCGAATGGTCTGAAGCGTACAAGGCAGACGTCGCTGCAGCCGTGGCGTGCTCCTTAAGTATCTCGTTGGCTAGGTGGTAGGGATTTTCCTCCGGACGAAAAAATTTAACTTGCATTGCTTCTGCTTCAATCGAGCCGGATGACACGAAGTCCGCTACTAGTACCTCGTGTCCTCCAATACCTGAGCTCAGAACACAACCCAAAACCACTCTCTGCACATCCGTATCTTTCCACGGATCCATAAAATACACGTGTGTAGTGGTCGATAAATCCTACCAAACATTCGTGTGCCCTAACTTCATTGTGGGGTGTGCGGTAATGTGAGTTCTGTACATGTTTAGACTTGATGGCGGCAGCATGGTACAGCAGAAGACGGGGTTCGAGAGAAGCACTGAACTTCTTTAGAATACTGTAGGCCTTCAGCTTCCCGGTCTGTGGCAAAATAACGTCGTAAGGCACTTTTCCATACACAGCCAACGTCCGCGAGAATCCTTCAACCATCTGCTCGAGCAAGCCATCTACGTGTGTGTGTGTGCACACATGTGTGTGTGTGTGCACACATGTGTGTGTGTGTGTGCACATGTATGTGTGTTTGCACACATGTGTGTGTGGTCTGGGTCGGTTTGTGCGTGGTGGTTACAGCGGTGAAGCTCGAGACGACGACGAAGCGAATCAGACATCTGAATTTGGCAGCGTGCTTGACCTCGTATTCGATACAGTCAATTATTCGTTGGTATTTGTTAGAAAGGACCCAGGGCACTTTTTGGTTGATGTCGCAGATTTTTTGTTCGCGAGAGAGGTTGCCGGCCTTGCGTAGGGCGCTGTCAACTGGACTGGCATCGACAAGGGCTTGTACGGGTGTCTTGCAGACGGGACAGTCGTCATGGTTTTGTACCCACTGACAGACACATGTGCGATGGAATGTGTGTCCGCAATTGATGCGTGCGTCAGGGCGCATATCGAAACAGATATGGCAACTGTCGGTTGGATCATCGAGTATGTCTGCGAGAATGCCTTTAAGGTCCAGTGCACGGTCTTCAAGACCGAGTTGGAGTTGAAGTAGAAGTTTCTCAGGCAGCATTTCAGCGGCATTAGCAGCTACCCGAAGGTACGCAATCATCTGCACCAGAGACTGAATCATATCATTCTCATTTATCTGTCGTCGGAACTCCAGTAATAACAATGCATAGTACCGGGCCTGATGAGGCAACATATCCACGTCTACCCACACCCGCTTAATTCGATGTAATGCCGCTGAACTAGGCTCCTCAAATACGCTACTGCCTTCACGACTAACCAGATTGTTTACCTTCTGTTTCATCCGTCGAACCAAAGCTGACACACGCGCGCGCCGTCGCCTCTCACTATCCGCGCCGGACCAACCTGACGCTACAGACCGCTCCCGTGACTGCCCTGATTCCGCTCGCATACGATGCCGGCCCTTTCGCCGCCGCCGCTCATCAGTCGCCTCGCCGTCGAGGATGTATCGCTCGTCTTCAGACAGGTCATCCTCCGACCGGTCATCTACCGACAGGCCATCCCCCGACCGGTCATCTTCTGACCCGCCATCCTCAGACCGACCTTCGCCGGAAGGGGTCAGAACGGCCGTCTCTAAACTCTGCAAGCACTCCTCCAAGTCGTCGTCATCACCGTCGGAGCTCGTCAGGCCCGCGCGGCTCGGACTCGGTAAATGGCTACTCGTCAGATTGTAGCAACACTCGTCGTCGCTGTCCCTATCGCCGTCCTGGCTGTAACCCAGACCCTGGCTGTAACCCAAACTCTGGCTATAGCCTAGACGGGGACTCTGGCCCTGGCTCTGGCTCTGGCTGTAGCCTGGACCGTGGTTATAGCCACGTGTGTCTTCGCCTTTGTCCCGTGGAAACGACGGCCGGTCCACCGGTCGGTCTCCGGGTCGGTCTCCGGGTCGGTCCGCATCTATGTCTTGAAAGGTCAGTCGCCGGCCGGAGGCATGGCTGCTGGCCGCTGTGGAGTAGCCCGTGTCACCCCCGCCCTTCTCCCGGTCCACTCCCAGCTTCTCCACCCCGACTCCCAATCGCGGTCTTGGTTCGCTGAGTCGTGCGCGCCCGCTGGTTCGAAACCCGCCAGTGGAAGCTGCGGAATTATCCCCGCGCCGGGCGCTGTACCTGCTGCCCGGACGCTTCGTAGGCTGCGGAGTCGTAAAGGAGTTAGTCTTATTGTAACACTCCGGCGCGTCCGAGGAATAACCGATATGCCGCATCTATAAAATTCGTTAAATGCTCAAGTACTTCGACATAGCACTCACCAGGGACGGTGAGCTCCACACCCCCCCACACCCCTCTCAAACACACACCTCTCATTGCACGCACTAGACGTGTGGACACACTAGACCCCCCCCCCCTCACAAGGAAATCAACCCGATGGACACACATGCATGAACACACACTCGTGGACACACACTCGTGGACACACATTGTGCCGTTTAGAACGGTCCATTATTGGGCGAGTGCATTCTGAGCGAATGCGGCGGCCTCGAGGGTTACGGGAGGAGGAGAGCGAGAGTTGGGTGCGACCAAGTCCGGACTATCGAGGAGGGTCTTCGGGTGACAACCAGATGGCGGATCTGGTGGCGCCTTCGTCGCCGACGATTCACCGATTCGCGACCAAGGCGGAGGTGCGTAGTGCGGAGGACTCAGGCGGCCTTGGAGGGGCTCATCCGGGACCGAGTTTGGCGGCGCAGTCGGCGCATCGGTCACCACGGATTGAAGAGGCGGCCATCAATAGTGGTGCTGTCGATGAACTCCGGGGCACGGGTCGTGGCACTGGTCACGAACCTCGTAACGTGATGGAAGAGACGGCGGCGATGATTGATTTGAACCTGTCGGATTACACAGCATGGGTGCTACGGCGGGAACATATCCGCTCTATCGGCTCTAAGTTTAACTACTTGGAAGAGTACTCCTTCACTAAGGAACGGATCTGGTCCGACCCAAAGTGCTACCAGTCATGGTACCACCGGCGGTGGTTAGTTAGCGCTTCTCCGTCACTGGTCGACTTGGAATTCGACGACTTAGATATGCTACTAGCAGAGGACTCAAAAAATTACAACGCCTGGCAACATCGGAAATGGCTCGTAGAAACCATGTTCCAATCCAAGGAAATTCTCTTAAAGGAACTCCAATGGACGGAAAACCTCATCTACCAGGACTGCCGGAATAACTCAGCCTGGAACTACCGAACCTGGCTACTGAACTCCGCCATCACCAGCCATCCGGAACCAGGTTCCTCTATCTCGAATCGTCCGGAGCAAAATCCACTTCTTGTTAAGGAGATTCTCTGTACCACCAAATGGCTCAAACGCTGCCCCAACGATGAGGCCATCATCAACCATCTCCGGGCCCTCTTCCATGACCCGCTCCCCGGTGCCCTCAATAAATTCTCCTATGTGTCTTTCGAAGAAGCTCCGGACTGTGTAAGCGCGTTACACACACTTTCCGCACATGGCACGCACTAACACACATTGGCACACTGCCCCGAAATAATCTGTTTGTAGCTATGTGAGTTTCTGGAATCGCATGTAGATGACGAGATTCCGCAGTATCATCTCCATTCGTTGATCGCACACTATCTCTTGGGCGTTCATCGGCAACGCGAGAGCTACGACGTATGCAAATTCACCCCGCAGCGATTAGGGTGACGGTTTGCCGAAGTGTCACACACTATGGCACACACTATGGCACACACTATGGCACAACCTGCCTGCCTACTTGGTTGGGTTGGGTTGGAGCTTCGTCTCCAAGCCGTCATACCTACCAGTGAATTCAACTGGGCTTCGCTCGCGGCCGCTGCAAACACCACCCGCACACTCAGCAACCACTTAGCACGGCAACCAAACGAGGACCATACGCGTAGACAGCCAGTGACAGCTGCCAGCTAGCTTTAGTTCACCCCGTCCAGACGGAGTAGGCATAACTGCCAGAGCACACCCAACTCCGCGAGCGAGGTCCTGCTCGGCGCCCTGATCCTGCCGTGGTATTCGCCTCCCCTGGCATTCGGCACCACTTGCACTCGGCTGCCCTAGCATGTCAGCGAAGCCCAGGGAAAGCGAAGCCCGACAGTGTTGGCACCGGCTAGTCAGGCGTGGTGTGTAGTAAAAGATAGATCATCAGACACTGGGCAGGGCAGCCCCTGACGTGGGTGGCTCCTGGGTGTGTCTCCGCCTGGTCGGCGGCGAACGAGGTTGGTCGGCAGCTCAAGCGGCGATGTTGTCCTCGCGAGGTCCACGCAGTCGGTGGCAAACACGTGTGCGAGCAACTCGGTTTATGCGAGCAACTCGCTTTGTGCGAGCAACTCGCTTTGTGCGAGCCACTCACAGTTGCATTTTAGGTGTACGTGAAGCTGCTCCAGATGTACCCCATTTACGCTACCATACTCAACCACCGGATGTCGATAATCCAAAGACTGATCGCCCAGGAAGGAAACGAACAGTAAAGCTGCGCAAGTCATGAACTGGGGATAACAATCAACTGGGCAGTCAGTTAACTGGTTTCCTGTCGTCGACGCCGACGCAGGGTAGCCATGGACGAGGTCAAGAAAGAGCCGTTTCTCGTTGAGGAGTGCCGCTGAGCAAAGAGATGGCGCTGGGCGAAGAGATGGCGCTGAGCGGAGGGATGCCGCTGAGCGAAGAGATCGCTGACTCGTTGCTTACGTTTAGAGGCAGTTCAATGCTGCTACATTGTTTGGTTGGTGCGTTGTTTGTATTGGTTGGTTGGTTGGTCAGATGGGGTTGGTTGATTGAGTTTTTAATAAAACATGTGGAGCCTCTTGTTGGGTTTGGTGTTGTACGTGGGTACAACATTGTACTTGTCAATTAAGCATAACATCAGGACGACATGTCGGCAGATGTTTGTGTTCCATCCGTGGGCTGACGCAGGTGGTGGTGGCGAGAAGTGTTTATGGTTGCTGATAAAGGCGTATGCGGAGCGGGGGAGTGCGGACATGCAATCGTCAGTGACATATCAGGCAAGTGCTGGTCGACTGCGATACAAGAAGCCATTACGGGTGACTCTATTTTGTCATGTAAGTACACCACATGTGCAGGATCTACTAAACCAAGTGGATCGAACGTTTGGGATTCAGATTCCGACGTATGTCAGTAGCGATAGTATTCATCAACACAGTCGGAATACTACACGGTTGTCTGAATTTGTATCGCTCCGTTTGGTACGATTGTATACTGCAAGCTTGGCTGTCAAAAAATATCCAGTTGCGACCCAGCTACTGCAACTCGCCGCTGGCTTTTTAGTAGGCTTCGAGGCTTCACTGCGCACCAGAGGTAATCGTTACGACGCTATTTGGGACACCGCAGGACTGCCCACCAGCGTCGCCTGGTTCAACTGGCTCACCACCTTCATGCGCAGAAGATGCTACGCCTACATACATTACCCCTTCCTCTCCCGAGACGTCATCTACCACAGTAAAGCATCCTTTGGAAGGCGACTATACAGCTACATTATTGATAGAGCTTATTATTTATCTGGAGGGTGCTTCAGACAACCAATTATCGTTAACTCCACATATACAGAACAACGACTGAAACAACTTTGGCCAAGCAGACGATTAACCAAGGTCTACCCTCCCATAGATCTCGGAGAAGACCCTGTAGGTTTTACGGATGCTGTGTTGAGAAATACTACCTTGAAAGATCCAGGTTTGACCACAGGGGAGACAGGGGATGATGCAGCATTAATCAGGGAGATGCCGTTCAGGAGGGACGCTGCCCTGACTGATAAGGATAATATTGTGCTTAGTATCGCCCAGTTTAGGCCGGAGAAGAAACACATGCATCAAATAGACATTATAAAGTCATTATTAGAGCGCGCGAAAATTCCAGCACACACGCGTTTCCTGATTTGCGGAACGTGCCGGCCGAACTCTCGCGCTGATCAGGAGCTGTTGACCAAGTTGCTCACCTACGCGGAATGCCTCTTAGCACCCCTCGACGGCCGTGTGGAGTTGCAATGTCACCTGAAGCCGGACAATATAAAGTGGGCGCCGTCTCATCACATTAAAGCGCCCAAGGCCGTGATCGAAGTGCACGTTAACATGGCTACAAGGCCGCTGCGGCAACTCATGACCAAGGCAAAGGTGGGGCTACATACAATGGTGGACGAGCACTTGGGGATCTCCGTCGCGGAGATGGCTTTAACTGGCTGCTACGTGGTTGCACACAATTCGGGGGGGCCCAGAGACGATATACTCCGAGGCATTTATCGAGACGAACTCGACCTAATTACGTCGGCAATGGTGCCGTCGGCCGACGATTTGGAGGAAGTGAAGCGGAAATCACAAACAAGCTTTAGTGGCAGCTTGGGATGTTTGTGTAACAAGCAGAGCGAATTTGTTGACGGAGTAGAAAAAGGATTGCTCGATAATGATAACACCAAACTCGTTCAGCAAGTAGTCCCAATTATCATAAGGTCACGGTTCCCCACTGATAACTCCTATGGGGAAGAGGTGCTGAATGCCTGGAATCTGTACACCCAGAAAATTACGTAGTTTTTGAACACATAAGCTCAGGCCTTTAACTTGTAAGCTTAAGCCTTTAACTCAACGCCTTAGCTCAACGCCTTGGCTCATATGAGCGGTTCATCCCAGTGCTGCGTGTTGAGTCCGGCATCGTCTTCGTTCTTGGAAGTGCAGTTAAGGTCCTGGGGAGTGTAGTTAAGGTCAGACATCATTGGATCAGAGCCCCGTTCACTATCAAATGATATAGAGATCGGGCGACTAGGAGGAAGCAGAAGAAGGCAGCTACCCATTGGTCCCACCTAAGAGGCTTTTGGCTGGGCCGTGTTGGTTGTCTGATTGCAAGGGGTTTATTATTTTGCACCATGGCTTCTCTCCCCGGCTCTCGCAAGATATTGCGAGACTATCAGGAAGCCGTGGCGGCTGCCGTCTTGGATCGAAACATTGTAGCCGTATTACCCACGAATAGTGGAAAGACACTTATTGCGACTAAAGCTATTCATGAATACTTAAGCCATCCAGCACATCTGGACAAGATAGTTCTCTTTCTAGCACCCACTGTAATGCTCACCTTACAGCAGAAAATAAACGTCATGAAAGAGCTGTACTATGGCGGTACCGACGATCTGCCGCTATATAGCGGCATCGTACATAAACTTCCCAGAGAAGGCGTACAAGCAAGACAACCGTCATCAAAATCACAAGCAGGTGGATCCAAAGACTGGACATCAAAAGACTGGACTCAGGACTTGCGTTGGAATGATTTGGCTCCCTGTGAGAATTGGGTTGATAATCGTTCAGAACTATCCCGCTGTTTCGCCAGCAGTCGAGGCTTTGCCGACATGTCACTGGGGGTCCATTGGAAAGACCCCCGTACATGGAAGGAGCTTTATCAAGACCTGTCGGTTTATAAAGAAAAGATTGTGGAGCACTACGCAGCCCGCGGTCTAGGACCACCGGCAGATGGCCTAGGACCGCCTCCCGAAGAGATCGCCTTCCCCTACCGCCGTTCCTGGAGGAATTTGGTTACAGACGCTCAAGAGTACTTGCAGACTACCCTACCGTCGGCTGTTGAAGAGGGCTCGGATGACGAGTCTGATGAAGAAGTATCAAATGATGACGAATATGATGGGCCTATGTTACGCAAAGATGTCACCGTTCGGTGGCCGCGTATCTTTTTTTGTACGCCCAATCTGGCCAGCACATTCTTCCAGTATGGCTTCCTGAGGATGGACCGTATCTCCCTTATCGTGTTTGATGAATGCCATCATGCGGAGGTGGGCCATCCCTATCATACGATCATGAAAACATTTTATGACGTTGCCGCGTGCCATCAACAAAAGAGCTGCACGCCTCTCCGGCCGCGGATCCTGGGCCTCACCGCATCTCCAATGGACAAGAAGATAGAAACCGCTCAGCTCGTTCGGAACTTGACTGGCATCGAAATGCAGATGTACTACGCGATCCGAGACAGACTATCTATACTCTGCGCGCTCTACGATGCTGGTGTCCACATCGGACAACTGTCGACAGATGTTCATGAACAAGTAGACTGGGTGACCAATACCCATAATCAAGCCTCCGTTGGCTTTACACCCGTACCTACCTTTAACAAGTTTTTCGAAGTCTTACGCCATGCCATGTTCCAACCTTTCCTGCAAACCGTCGCCAGTATCCTCTCTCCGCAAACCACCTCCAAGCGTCGAGCCGCCGCCTACTCGACTGATGGACTCCTCGATGTATTTGATCCTGATTATGTCCGGGGCTCCTGGAAAAGCGTCGAACTAGACGAAGCAGTTACGGGCACTTGGCCTCATATAACCCACCCAGCACTAGGCGTCGACAAGCTCCATGTGGAATTTCAACTTCGAGCGATGGAATGGCTAATTTTCGAACAGACTCCTGACGATAGCACACGCGTGCGAGAATGCCTAAAATTAATGTCCAGCTACGAGAAGATGGCTCGAATACTCACCAGACTCTCTATTTTAGAACCCGACCGGTTACTCGAAGGGTTAGGCTCCGTATGCGAGGGAGATACAGATGCAATGTCGGCCGAGTTCCAAAAAATTAAGGAAGCGTCCGAGGCGGCTGGAACTAAAGATGTTGACGAGAACCTGAAGTTGAACTACGAAAAGAAAAAAGCACGGTTGGAGAGGTCGCGAGACATAGCGTGCCGTTCATTGAGGCTGAATTTCGCCTTGCGGAACGTCGCAATTCTCGCCTTTGATGAATACCAGGAAGAGACGCCGGCCAAGCTTGCGCATTTGCAAGCTGAGGCGGTTTCGGAATTCCGTAACGAGGTGCAGTACATATCTAACCAGTTCCAGGACTCTTTCTACCAGCATGGTTTCTTTGGTGTCTTCGTCATGATTCAGGAGATCTATGCGCGAGTGGTGGACGACCTCAGAATTCATATGAGACAGTTTTACGACGCTGAGAGCATTTTGGGTGTGCGAGCCGCGTTCGGAAATGCTGCCGATTTGGACGAAAGAAGAGAGGACATTTCCCCGACCAGTTGGAAAGGAAAGCATGAGTCTTGTGAGAAGACGTTGTCGCTGGCTGAATTGGATTCGGCTGTGCACCGTAAATTGTTGCCAGTGGCAGGTTCAGCGGAAGACCGTTGTTTTACGGAGACCCCGGACTTCTTGCGTAAGTTCATGGTGGAGTTTAACTACCGTCAGCGTGTGCACCAAACGAAGAGGGAATTGTTGGACATGGCCGTTGTCAAGGCGCATGCGATTGCGCGCAGCCATGCCTCGGACAAGGCCACGGTTCATAAAGTGGTGGACATGGCGAGCATCGATCCTACGCACAGCATTTTTCGTGTGCGCGGAAACGGGTGTGTTCTGAACCAATTGGCATCAATTGCGCGGGAAGAGCAGTCGGAAACGGAGGTGCTGCAGCGGCTGTTAACGATCGTGATGAAGCAGGCGGTCATGCGTGCTCTAAAGCGTCACAGGGCGGGATTTTTGGAAGGGCGGGAAATGCACCGTGAGGTGATTTCGTGCTTCTTGATGGAAGTGCGCGAGTTACGCGATGTCGTACGCGCCGTGCAGCGTTCCGTAAACCACTGGTTACTTATGGAACTGGCTGGTGCCTTTTTGGCGCGGCATCCCGTGGTAGTTGAGCACTTGTTGCAGATCCCGATGGTTCCGAGCTCGGCTGTCTTGATTGAACATGCGGTTCGTGCCCGTGCGACCACCACTCCGCAGTGGATGGTAAGTTGCAAGCTATCCAAACTCGCCGAACTGGCCCGTCTCGGTGGCTTGCATGCGGTCAAGAAGGAAATGGCCACCTTCGAAATGGAGCAAAATCGGAGAGCGAGCTGCGAAAAGGTCCTCGCCAGAGTCAGCGGCGACTACAACAGCGATGACAAACTCATCCAGGCAGCACCGCTCTACATCAAAGACAACTTTACTCCAATTAAAGAGTATCACACACGTCCTGAGTCCAGTCTCTCGGACTCCGAGTCCTCCGGTAGCTGGTCGGACTCCGATGGCGGGACCCGTCATCCCACTGATACGGCACCTACCACTGCCAGTACGCGACTCGCCAGTAGCCGCGAACAAGACGGCAACCGCCAACCATTCCGAACGGATGTGGACCGACCTCGGGACACTGACCGATCTCGGGACACGGACCGGTACTTTGGACACCATCGGAACCTTGCGCAAAGTCGGGAGGACGGGCGTCTGTCTTATCGGGACGAAGGTCGTCAGACTCGAGACGACGGCCGTCTATATTACAGAGACGACGGTCGTCCAGTGCGAGATGATGGTCGCCAGCCTCCTGCTCGGGACGATGGTCGGTACAGCCATTATGCAGTGACCAGTCGTCCGCAGCGCGGGGAGGAGGAGCGTTATCGGGCAGTGCGGGAGCAGGAGTTGCGAGACCTAGAGTTATTATCTCGGATGTCAGCGCAGCGGCGTTCGGCACAGTTTGAGGATGTGGGTCGTCACTTCGAAGCCTTGGTGGAGCCGGTGGATGCAGGGTCTTACGTGCCAGCACGTTGGGAGGTATCTTGGCGTTTGATTTTCGACGTGGCAGGATTGCCTACGTGTTTTCCCTGTACGTTACTGAGCACGAAGATGAAGGCGTTGATATTTGTGGAGACACGGATTGATGCACAGGTGACGAGCTGGTTGCTGGACAGTATGGGTTTGTGTCGGACGGGACACATTACAGGTGAGAGTACCATGGTGCGTAGGACGAGGCAGACGTTGGGTGAGAATGTGTGGCGACGGACACGTTTGTACAAGTCGATGAAGGCGAAGCAGCAGGAGACGCTAGTGCGTTTTCGGACGGCATCGCAGTTGCTGGTTGCGACTTCGGTGATTGAGGAGGGTTTCGACTTACCCTGTTGCTCGTTAGTGATCCGGGCGACGCCGCCGGTGACGTTGTCCCAACACATCCAGAGTCGCGGTCGCGCGCGTGCGGCAGATAGTTGGTACATTATCATGCAGCAGTTCGAAGGCCGGACCACTGCGAGTGCACTCATCTGTTGGTCCAAGCTCGAACAGCTGGTGGTCACAGCTTGCAAGGAGTTCGCCATCGGACCGCGCACACTTCCCCGCCAAACGCTGCCTAAGGCCTACGCTCTCGTTGGCGCCCACGCGTTTATACCATACTCCGCCGCCTACCAGTTCTTGCTAGGCTCTGTACTTGCCCCACTGGCCGTCCGACGCGCGGAAGACGGTACCTTCGAAGAACGTGAACTCCGCAATTTCCAGGCGCAAAGACGCGTTCTCGAACTAGGCCAGCACACGCTCACTCTCACCATCCCGCCCGTCAAAGGCTACCTCGACGCCCCCGCCGAAGGTCAGACTTTCGTGTTCTCTCTGGAACACGCAGGTCTATCGCCTTGTGGACGCGGTCTTGCTGGTCTCGCCAGTGGTGGTGCGATCCACAGTCCGACCGGCAGAAGTCAGGCCTCGGCCGACGCGACAGGGTTGGTGGCGACTCGGGTCAGTGCAGCGGAACGGGAAAAATTGCAGAACGTGTTGGCATGTCGTGCGTTGTTGTGGCTGAGGACCCAGGGTGTTCTGGACGCAGATTTTCTGCCGCCGCGACCGGCGATGCTGACGACGGCTTTGATTGTGAACCGGAAGCGTAAGGGCGTACCGGGGGACACGAATACGGAGCAGTTGTGGCGTGAGTCGCCTGAGGGATTATTATGGCCCGAGATTGTGGCGTTGCGAGTGAGTGACTTGCGTACGAGCACGGACTGGCAGATCCTGCACCCGGGCACCGTCCCACTTACGCCCGAGGAGCAACTCCAAGTCGCGCAACGCATTACGGGCAGCATCCTTGGCGATCAGCTCGGCGGCTTCCTCAGCAAACAAGACGTCGACAAACTGGTGGGAGTCAACGACCGCGTCGTCGTCAAAAACGTACCCGGCCACAGCAAGGCCTCAGGCGACGTCAGCTACGTGGATGCACTCGCGGCGGTTGCGCAACAACACCCAGATATGGGTGAGCGGTTCGTCGACTTGCGCAAGTACGCCAAGTTCAAAAACGAGTACGACGAAGACGATGCCTACGAGGATACCGCACCCGGAACGGGAACGGGACCGGGAAGGGTTTCCGGACGAGAAGGCGACGCTGAGGATGAGACGACAACGGCGAACAAAGCTTCCGACTTGGGCGGGGATTTGGGCACGGATGGAGAGGCTGGAACCGAAGGGGGATTTGATGGTGAAAAGAGAGCTGAGGCGGATGACGCATTTGAAAGAGACCTGAAGGCGGTTTTGGAGCGGAACCGGGAACTGAAGCGCGCGGAGGAGTTGCTGGAAGCGTCGACGGAGACGGAGTCACCGGAGGCTGCGGGTGGGTTGAGTGAATCAGTAAACGAAAACACGGCGTTATCTCCAGCGGGTGACGGTGACGAGTTGCCGATGATGACGTTGTATCCTCATAGAATCTGGTACCGGTGCAAACGGTGGGACTCTGACCTGCTGCGGTTGGGCGGGTTGATGAGTTTTTGGCGGCCTCTGTACCGCGCGGACGGTACGATGCCCGAGGCGCTCCGGGGGCTGGTGGAGTCGGAGGAAGCGGAGGAAGCAGGCGATGCGGGTGTGGTCGTGGGCGAGGCGATGGCGCGCATGTTGGCCAAACGAGGAGCAGACGGCGTGCGCGAGAGTGTGGGTGGCCAGAATGGGGAGGAGTGTGGGAGGCGTTTGTTGGAGGAGTATCCATGTCTAAGGCTGGACCCCCATCCATGGCGTATATTGCAGCCAATGGTAATTTTGCTGCGACATCCGATACCTAACAAGATCACGAATGAGTTTTATCATGCAGCAACGAACGAGGAGTATATGGTGGAGATCGAGCCCGTCGGCTGTGACCGACTGCATGACTTTGTGATGAGTAGAGGCGATGGTCGAAATCTGACGGCAGCACTGGGTGAGATTTTAGAGGAGCGAGCATCACCGGCATACAATGTGCATTACAACAAGTACGGTCAGCCAATTAGCTGGGATATTCCGTACCTGCTGGCGGCGGGACTGCAAAAGGTAAACCAGCTTATACGGAAGAAATGGGCAGTGTCTAACTTCAACCCTCCGGAGCATCTGTTGTTGGAACATGTTGATGAGGAGGCTCTGCGGAAATTGAATCGCGCGAATGCCAAGCTCTCGTGTCTGTTACCGCCGTATGCAATCTTGGCCCCGCTGCGCGGTGATGGGATATCGCTGGATGTCAATTGGGTGTTGAGGATGGTTCAGCTGCAGAATATGTTTCGGTGCCCTAATGTGCGTCCTGATTACACTCCTCAAATGGTAGAGGCGATGATCCGGGAGAGCCCGCCCCATTTGCTGGATATCTACCGCGCTAACGCTAAGGCTGTCGCTCTCCTCGATCCCCAGTGCACCCAGGGTTACTCGGAAACTGAAGGCGATGTCTGCATGCGCGGAGACAGTGGCCAGCAAACAGAAGTCCCCCATTTCCACAAAACGCTCTTCTATCCAGGTGATGGCGACCATGGCCAGGACGGCGACGATCGCCAGGACGGCGACCATCGCCAGGACGGCAACCATCGCCAGGACGGCAACCATCGCCGTGGTGGCAGTGGGGCGATGGACTACAAGACGATTCAGCGTATACTGGCAGGCTCACGGGATGCCTTCCTGGACAGTTTGGAGGAGCTGGATTTGTTAGAGCATGAGCCTGCGGTAGTACGTCGATTGGGTGAGGTGGGTAACGGTGCGCTATTGTCTGGTCAACGTGTGGCGTTAAGTTATTTCTTCAATCGATCGACGGTGGAACGGATGGCTTCAGTGTTCGGTCGTGGATACCGTGGGTATCGGATGTCGGAATTGACCGCGCAACAGGTGGGTACGATAGTGGCATACAACTCACTCTTGCGTGGTGGTGAAACAACAGTTTTGAGGATGGTTCATGAGCGTGGTCGCGCGTTCCGATACCACACTTTGGATGGGTTTCTGTGGGAAGAGAGTGCAACGAGTTTTATATTGACGGACTCGGAGGCAGCGAATAGTCTCACGGCTTTATACCGTACTAAGTTTGGACGTGAGTTGAGAGCAGATAACGACTTTTTGGTCCGTGGTGCGAAGATCCGACAGGGTCCGAGACTGTCATTATACAAGGAGAAGGTGAGTCCATTTATGTCTGTGCATGCTCCTGAGTTTGCGCTGGTCCTGCCAGTTTCAGGGCCAATTTTGGAACAGTTTTCGACCTCGCCAGCAATTTTTTGGACGTTGGATGTTGAGTTGAAGAGGCAGGAGTTGAAGTTGATGATAGATCTGCAGTTATCAAGAGCTTTGCCGGCCCCGCAATCAGTGCATGGTAACGTCCTTGAGGACCGAGATGCGGCCCACCACACCTGTTACCGGTGGCATGTGGGTACCGAGGATGCGACGTGCATTTTGGAGCGACCGGCGGTGGCTGATTTTGAAGTGGATGAGGAGTGGTTGGGCATAGCCTTTACGACCAGCGGCGCTCTCACCCTCGGTGGGCTTCCGCTTGCGCAGGCGAAACAGCGAAACCAGCTGTACGAGGCGCTGGAACCGTACCTCGCAAATTCCTTGCTGGCGCCGGCGGACGTAAGTTCAGATGTCGCGCAGCTCCTAAGTCTCTGGGAGGCCGAGTCGCTCCAACACCCACTCGGGCGTGCGACCCGAGCGCTTTTGGGACCTCGTAAGGGCGTCAATCCCTTCACGCTTTGGGACCACCTGCCGCGGCCGATGAGTCGCATTCGACACTCGCAGGTGCTAGAGTTCACGGGCGATACGGTACTCAAGTACATGGCGGCGGTCTGGGCCTACTTCAACTTCCCCAATGGTGACCAGCAGGTACTCAGCGAGCAGAGTGACTTAATCAAAAAGAACGCTGCACTCCGCAAAGGCGCCAGGTCCAACCGTCTACAAGCCTTCGTGCTCGGTAGACCCTTCTCCACACGTTCTAACGGACGCCATGGCGGCTCCACAATAACGGACTTACGAGCGCAAAATTTGTCCTTCAAACAACAGGCCGACGTCATGGAGGCGCTTCTGGGCGCCACGTACTGGAGCCACTTCACGCGTTTTGACATGTTCCCCACTCTCAGCGACTTCCGTCTCCTCACCAAGGTCGCCCACCTTTGCGTAGGACACCGTAGACTCCAGAACGACCTCGTCTCATCGCTCATCCAACCCCTCATCTACCACTCCTCCTGGTGCGGCAGCAGCAGCGGTGTCTACGCCTGTGCCGCCATAACGGAGGCTTACATCATGCCGCCCAAAATGAAAGCACAACACCCCATGGTCGCCATCTTTGCTCAACTGCGGGACATCAACATACACTATCTGGCATCTAGTAATAACCTAGCCCAAGACCTTGACCGCACAGTGGGAAAGAGAACACCCGGTCTGGTCCACATCGAAGGGCTCACAGACATGGGTATCGACCTGCGTGGCGCAATGCCAGGCCCTCCTGACCGGTTACAGGCTGACCAGTTACAGGCTGACCAGTTACAGGCTGACCAGTTACAGGCTGACCAGTTACAGGCTGACCAGTTGCAGGCTGACCAGTTACAGGCAGGCCAGTTACAGGCAGGCCAGTTGCAAGAGCAATCGTCGGAGTGTGGGCTTGCCAAGTTTGAGATTTACGAAAGCACGAAGATCGAGTTGAGTAATATTGATATAAAGGAGTCTTGGCCGTACAACTTAGCCTTGGGCAATAAGAAGTATCCGTACAATTTTGTGGCAGGTGGTGACGAGGGTGGTGAAGTGTGCGAGCGTAGTGTGCGTGACCATTTCCCGATGGCGTACGGAGATAAATTTGTTCGTTTGGATTTCGACACGAATCTTTTAGGCGAAGCGGACCGTTTTTGTAACGAGCGGTGTTTGCAGTTGCGTGAAAGGAACAGTCGTCTGGTGGAGAATTGGTTCGGTTTTGATGTTGGATTGAGAGATGATGTGATGGTACATTTATGCAACGCGCGCATTCATCCACGTGCTACAAATTCATTCCCGGGTTTAAGTGATTATGAGAGGCTGGAGTTCTTGGGAGACGCAATTTTAGGCATGTTAATTGCCGAGTGGTTGAACAAATTGGCTCCGGAAATACGTGAAGGGTCCTTAAGTTGGTCTAAGGCTATTTTGCAATCGAATCGATATTTGTGTCGCATTATGTTACGTAAGCTGGGTAATGGCACACAGAAGAATCCAAGACCTATTCTTGCGTCGAGATTGTTGTTCCATAACATGTTAGAAGGTTCACATTTTGAGGAGTTGGATGCGTTGCAAGAGAGTATATTGAATAGCGATCCTGCCATGGATTTTGATTTCTGTTTAGAAGAGTTAATTAATGAAGATAAGCAACGTGTCTATGACCCCCTAAATGACCCCCTAAATGACCCAGTCAATAATGAAGTGGACGATGTCGTCAGTTGTAATAAACACAAGTTTGTAGCCGATGTGTACGAGGCCATGGTCGCTGTCGCGTTGATCCAGTACAAGTTTGATGTAAGGGCTGTATGGGAAGTAATCCGACATGACTTCATCTCATCAGAACAACGCATTGTTCATCATATGAACACAGAGGAATTCGGGCTAGATGAGAAAGCAAAACTTCGAAAAGAACGAGCACAAGAAATCGACAGTCAAGCCAAAAATCTTCTCGCTATAAGTCGCTCTTAAGTGCTTTTATCCCTAGTACTATAACTCTCACTCACCTATCTAACTGTTATTTATTATCTGAGCACAGCTATTCAACTAATCGACGGAGGCTAATCACTCACGAAGACCCTCCCGTCAGCAGATCGCTGTCAGCAGATCGCTGTCAGCAAATCGCTGTCAGCAAATCGCTGTCAGCAAATCGCTGTCAGTAGCTCTTTACTTTTGATCGACAATGTAGAGCTAATGTATTAACGGAGTGGCATAAGATCCAAAAGATTATTGCTACGTAGATTCCATGGTCTCCTCTATCATTTACTATCGCACTATCAGCTGCAAAGAACGCCAGGGGTATGTTCACCAAATATAGCTCTCTACAAACCAAATATAAGTCACATCCGGCAGACTCCCCCGCAGTCTCTCCGGTATACCCTTTTGGAAGGGTGGGCTGATAATCTTACGTTACGAATTCAATAGAAAGAGCAAATTCCAGCTTTTCATGATCGTACGGAGTTGCGTAGTGCTCCTTAATGTGATGAAACAGCAGTGGGGAATCGAAAGCAAGACAAGCCAGAGCGTATCCGCGGTATATTATGCCATTTTGTTCTTTTCGCATTAATTTAGCAAACGCGTGTTTGTCCTTCCACCATAAGCGCCATCTCAAGAGGTAATAATTCCAGCTGTGTATATTCCAGGCATGGGGTGATGGCGGACTTATACTTTTTGATCTGAGCTCCTTGAATTGAACAATCTTGAATAGAGTATTTTGAAACAGTAACATTCCTACAAGAATGGCAGACAGGCAGCACATGATGTAACGCTCATTAGACCAAAGAGTGGTCAAAAATGCCAACTTTAGAATCCGAAATGATTCTGCGTTTATTGTAACGATTAGTGGGTGACTCATAGGTCGCACTTCATCCAATCGGTCCAGGAATAATCCTAATCGATGTAATGGAACTATCTTGCGCAAATGACGAGGAATCTGCCGACGCCTCGCTGCCGCGCCTGCAGCTAACGACGTCCGTAAGTAGCAGTAGTTGCTCAACAGCCTTGCAGCGCATTGGCTGCCGCTTTCAAGAACAAATGAGTGGCTTCGAGTCAACAACCTCTTACCCAGACGTCTCGGCCCCCTTCCCAAATTGCTTTCTGCCAAGCAGGGCACTTCGCCAATCTCGCAGCCATCATCCTGGAATGTGTCACACCCGTCAACTATGGTACTACCCCGGTGTGTGCCAGTACCACGCGACATAGCTCGCACTTGTCTAGAACAATATATACGTGGCGAAACATCATTATCTATACCAGTTTCTTCAATCATGCTACTTGCCATCCGATCGCTCCTTTGAAAACAGTCGGCGGTGTTACACCCGACAGTGTTACACCCGACAGTGTTACACCCGACAGTGTTACACCCGACAGTGTTAGGCCCAAAGTCTCCTATACTCGCTGCGATGTCACCTGTGGCCCCCGTTCGCTTCATTGTGGTGTTTCTGCTACCTAGCGAATCTTCAACAACTACTGAACCTTGGACGACAGCTCCACTTTCAAAACCTGGTCCACCAACGCTGCTGCACTGCGCCTCTTCGTTACCACGTCCGGTGGGGTAGCCGACTGGGTAGCCGTCGTCCGTACCTGTCGACTCGACAGCAGACCCTGACGATTCTAACCCAGACGAGTCTGATCCAGACAGATCTGAGTCAGGCGGTTCCGGCTCGGACCCCGACCCAGACAGATCAGCCTCGGATGACTGTCGGTCAGTCGGAGAGTCCTCGGTTGCCTCCGAAGTCTGGTCAACGACCTGATGGTGCGCAAGAGGATGTGCGCGATCTCCGAGTATCGCTTCCAATATAGATATTGATGGGGTGGCATCCACTTCATGTCCATTAGACCGATTTTTGAGGCACTTAGACAGGCAAATGACGTCCAGGAACGCTAGAACGCAGCCACAACCCAATGCGTAAAATACCGTCCAAGTCTTGGTCACGAACTGGCAGTAACAGTAGACTATGTAGGACACCCCTTGTAAGCACACTCGAGCAAGCAAGTACGAACGACAGCATAAGAATGTCTTAATCGTCATGCATTCACGAGGCAACCCAACCGTCGACATTTACAGCATCTCAAGAACTTCATTTTTCAAAAAACTAACTAAAGCTACTAATCATCACCAACCAAGCACCCCGCTCTCAAAAGTCGAAAAGCCTCCAAGGTGGAGTCCTCCCCCGCTCGCCAGGACTAAACTCCTCCCCTCCCCCGGTCGCCAGGACTGGACTCCTCCCCCGGTCGTCAGGACTGGACTCCTCCCCCGGTCGCCAGGACTGGACTCCTCCCCCGGTCGCCAGGACTGGATTCCTCCCCCGGTCGCCAGGACTTGACTCCTCCCCCGGTCGCCAGGACTGGACTCTTCCAGAGTACACCTTCCTTCACCTTCCTTCTCTAGCAACGGTTTTCTACGGCATGTCCTCAGTCAATAAATTTAGCGCGTATTTTCCTTAGCCTATGTCTTCCTTATGGGGTCTCGCAGCGAACTCATAGCTTAAGTTCACTCAGCATTAACTCCTTAACTAGACATTGAGCCAGTAAGGCACAGCAGCTGCGACAAACCCTATTACGGTAGTGAGAGCGAAGTAGCCTATGAGGCCCCACTCCCAGAGAGTCAGGGGGCGGTCAGACGGAGGGAGGGTCCGTGCGACTAGCGAGTAGTCGCTCTGCGCTTCCGTACATAGCGCTCCAGTGGCATCGCAGTTGCGCAGTTGGCTGTAACGCGCAAAGGTTGTGGGAGCCTGAGCTTGGCCGGCATAGTCATGTGTAAGTTCGACCCCACCTAGCCCACTTTGATCAAGCACACCTTGTTGGAATCCACCTTGTTGAAATCCACCTTGTTGAAATCCACTTTGTTGGAATCCACTTTGCTGGAATCCACTTTGCTGGAATCCGCCATTGTCCTGGCTGGGATGTGGTCGTGGTACTTGGTCGCCGCAGCGTTCCGAGAAGACGTCTGGAACGAGAGCGTTGCTTTTCCAGTGGACGTTTTGTCTGCGATAATCGTGGTGTGTGTGCCAGAGTAGTACGGCGGGGAAAGTGCACATGAGGATGGTGGCTCCCCAGCCGCCAAAGACTGTGAGCACGGTGGCGACTCGGTCGGTATGGAGAGCGACTAGGGCGCCAGCGGAGACGAGACCGAATGAGTAGGCGAGGCGTTGAGGGAAGCTGCCGAAGCCTTCGGCGACCATTGGTTTGTTTCGACAGATAGCTACGAGGTTCATGCAGCCATTGGCGACGGCTGAGAAGAGGTAGGGTGATAGGACAATAAGACAAATAATCATTAACGCGCGGAGAGTCACAAATACCGGGTCTGTCTGGGATAGGGAACGGGTAAAGTTTTGCAACATAGGATGTCCCTGCTGCATGACCAACAAGACACCGACCGAAGACAACGCTATGTAATACAACAGTGTTAGTGTGTGCGATGTAGCTAGGGAACGCAACAACGTCTTCCGTGACAGAGTTCCCAGCCGTCGATTGTATGAATGTGAAGCACTCGCACACAATGGGTTCGCCGCACATGAAGTGAAAGCCAGAGTATGACCGGATTTGGCCACTGCTTGACCCGTTGTCCCGTACCCGTCAACGGGACACTTTCCCCCTTCCACTCCTTGGTCCAGAGCATCGTCGTCGAGGGTGATGGTATTCTCTAACAACGCTAAAGCCATCGCATCTCCCGGGGCCACAGGGGACATGGCTGCAAAGGTGGGCAATACATTAGCCTGCATCATGAAGGCAAACAAGAACAGATTCGCATCCGGCAGCGCCTGTCGACTCACCGGAATTTGCCATAAGGTCGCCAGCGACACTGGCACCTTCACCACGTCTTGGTATGGAACGAAGTAACGGTACACCAGTGCTATCAAACACCAACCGAATCCCAGTATCGGAATCGCAGACAGAAACGCATCGTTCACGCCATTCTAAGAAGACTCACGGTTAGGAAGGCGAGGGGTGGGAATGCGAGGGGTACAAAGTGTGGGTCCAAAGGCCATAGGGGTGAGTTTACGTCGGTTGTCGAGAGTATTGTGCAAAGTAAAGAAGCAAATAAAATAACAGGAGATCGTTCAGTAAGAAAGAAGAAGGTCGAATCTTCAGCAATAATTCCCTTCAATGCCGTTGGAACAAAGTCACCGAGAAAGATGAGAAATGATACCGCCGCTCCGAAACCAGAGATAACTAGTGCTAGATCAAGTAGAAGAGACCACTTTCTATTCAAAAGTTGATGGACGAGATAGCCGTAGGATGCTGCACAAGAAAGAGCTGGAATCATCTCCGTACTTACGAGCAGGGGGAGTCTTATCTCGCCATGATGCGTAGCACGCAACATCGTAAATTACTATGCAACTTAGCACAGACACGGCATAGCTTGATAACAGAATAATCACGCCCCAAACTAGCCCAGTATGACTCAGCCCATAAGGGAGCGTTAGCATCCCTGGGCCTATTGCCGCAAGGCCAAGGTGCATAGCTAACGGCGCCCACTTTGTGCTGGTCATATGCTGGGACAGTGCGAAAAAAATGCTCGCTGTTCTGAGCTGGTTCTAAATAAGCTAGCGATTCCAACTTCATGAAGTCAAGTTGCTAACTCCACTGAAGTCCACCTGAGACGCGCTTTAAGAGGGCTTTAACGGTGCTTTAATGAGTTCGGGCTCCCTTGTTGGCTCCCTTGTTGACACCCTTGTTGACACCCTTGTTGACACTGACCAATGTTAGTGCGCTCAACACAGATGGACATGTAGCAAACATGTCCATGTGCTACAGTCGCGACGAGTAAAACGGCAATGAACACGCGTGTATGTGGTGGCTGCAGAACTTCGCATGTTGAGTAAGCGCGCCTCTGGATAAGTCTCTGGAGAAGTCTCTGGATAAGTCTCTGGAGAAGAGGTGGGGCTAATTTGTCGTCACCATGACGACATCTCTGAGGTATTTGAGTTCTTCCTTGAGAGCCTCTTCTCGGTAGGCGAGACGTATGCCAGGGACGTTGGTGGCGCGAATGTCGTTGCCCTTAGCGCCCTTTTTGAGGTAATGAGCACCAATCCAGTGTCGTTTGAACTGGGGTTCGAAGTTGGATTGTAGGACGGAATTTCTGGCGACTTCGCAGAGGTCTACGGGTGAGAGTTTCCAGAGATGGGCGCAGACTGAGTATTCTTCTAGAAGGGCCTCATCAGTGAAATGGAACATGAGTGGGTCGTCAGAGGAGAGACTGACATTGAGTCCGATTTTGAAGAAGGTAACGAAGGGTGACTTGGTGATTTCGTGGAATAGGGCGTTATTGCTGAGGGGTGACATGGCGAGGCCGATTTGCCAGCAGTAGTATAGGTACTGAAGGACGGGTGATTTGCGGAGCATGATACCGTGATTGATACCATCAGCGAGGAGTCCGGCGCTGGCAAGATGGCTGATGCTCCCGGCTTCACCACAGTGGGGGCGGAAGGGCATGGGATTGAGACCCCTTGCTTGAAGGAGTACATTAAGCGTACGTATGTTAGCGTACATGTAGTAGGCCCAGTAGGCGTAGGGTGGATTGTCTTCATGAACCCAATCTTTAGGATCAGGTAGTTCACCTCCTGCCATGGTGAATTTGCTTACGACACTTTCATCATCTACACTATCCCACGCTACAGTTTGTCGCAACATTTCAAAGATTTCAGGATGATCTCTAGGCTTGAGAACTGCCTCTATAACCGGTCGGAACACATTAGACAAAAACCCTTCCATCGACTTCACCTTATTACGAGCCCGGTAAACATGATACAGACGTGGTACCTGGATAACCCAACGCACGCGTTTGCTATGCAACTTATTATTCAACATCCAACGTGCAAGCTTTACCCACTCATTCGGACTATGCCCATAAATTGATACGCGCCACTCCACTTGCTGATATTTAGCCGCCTCCAAATCCTCAATAACCTCTTGAGTCAATTCCGCTAAATATCGACCACCAATAAAATTATCCGTTTTCAGAAATACCTCTCGCAACATAGCCGCTCCAAATGGGTTATACTTCGAATTGAACAAATCAAACCGATGGAAACAAGAGTTCATCGCATGAACATCCAAATGATCAATAGATGTCTCCCATGCCGTTAATCCTATCTGCTCCTCAAATAACTTACGCAATGTCAACTCCTCACCACCAGCTGTCTTACATACTACCTCATCCGCCGCCGTTCGATATTTACGACGAATAAACCGTAACAGATGTTTCTGTGTCATGCAAGCCGAATGGTGCACGTGTGTGTCCACTTTTCGCACATTATAAAAGTCACGATGGTTATTATTCCGTACTTCCTCTTGCTCATCCGGTCCATTAAACAGAAGATGAAAACTGAACTTCTCTTCCAAATATTTCAATCTCTGATAACAAACACTTTTGCATGCTGGATCCTGAACTACCTTCATCAATTGCTTCAGATGCATCAAGTATTCATCCACTGATGGTAAATGACCACCCGTCAATTCAATTATTGACTTGTACTCTTCACCACTGCCACCTGCCACCAATGGCAACTCCGGACCCCGACCACTACACACTGTCGGCGTCACGTCGGTATCACCTCGAACCCCCTCTTCCAAACGTCTAGACCGAGACCCAGGAGCAGACATCGGACCACACTTAGGATCACACTTACCGCCACAACCTGCTTCCTTTCTTACAAACTCGTCGCCGTACCAGCCACTGTCCAAAACCTCCACTTGACCGTCGTCCTTGTGGTGCGTCACGCTAATAGCGATCGGTGAACGGACCTTCTCCCCGTTCTGCACCTGTTCCGGCTCCCCCACAGGCGTCTCGCCCACAGGTGTCGCGAACGACATGGACGACTGACTGGCGGGCTCCGCAATCACCGACGCGTGGCGCTCCGCTGAACCGTCAGTCTGAGCCGCCCCAACGTCGTCGCTCTCAGTCTCAGGTACCTGAACCGTCTTGCTTGCCACGTCGTCCGTGATAAGTCCATCGTTTCTTCCTCCGTCTTTTTTCTCTGCCTCGATTCCCTCTCCATCCTTTACCTCTCCATCCTTTACCTCTCCATCATTTACCTCTCCATCATTTACCTCTCCATCATTTGCCTCTCCATGCACGGGACCAAAGTCAGGTCGGGTCTCCCCTCGGGAGCGGGGTGTACTTTCGGGACACAGGTCAGTATAGACACGGACAACGCCGCCTTCGATGGTGACGTAGCCTCGTAGGTTTTCAAGGACAGGTGCGTTTTCAGGACAGAAACGTGGTTCGCGAGAGCCCCAGGGGTCACTGGCGTGTGTAACGGGAGGGAGGACACAGGGCGAGTCGTAATAGCGATAAGGCTCGACGAATTCGGACCGGAGCATAAGCGCGCTGGAAATCATTTTAACAGCGCGAACATTTTCTTCGCTCCGTGACGCACGCAGGGCAAGTTCGTCACTTGGCAATACAAGCCGGGTATACTGCTTGGGTGGTAACAGTCCTATGTAGCTTCCCTTGGAGCTGCGGCCGTCGGTAGTCAATTCGTGCAGCCTTGTGTCGTGCAGTCTTGGGTCCTGGAGACGGGTGTCCTGAACTTTACTACCGTCTTGCGACTTTGCCTCGACCGACTTGGCATCATACAACTTGGCCTCGTACGACTTGGCATCATACGGCCTGGCATCATGTTGTCTGCTGGGTACGTCCACCGGGAAGATGCACGTGTCCTTTGCACTGACTGGGGTGACGGGAGGTGCCGGTACAGTGGGCACAATGCCTGCGTAGTCGGCCTCGCTGAAGTGGTCTGCGTGTGCAGAAGTCACGGAAAGTGTGTTCCACTTTTGCTTCGAGTTCGTCGACGGTGGAGCACGCTCCGCCGAATGAGTCGCTGAACGTAAGTCACTTGTACTCTGACGCACCAACTCCTTCAAATGGATGCTGATACTGTCTCGCGTCTCTTCCCCATGCTCTCCTGGCACATTTGAACTCTCCGTTTCCTCACTTATCACCGTTACCGCACTTTGCTGAGGACGCCAATTACGTCTACTCAACTGGTCGCGATACGCAGCAATTTGCTCATTACTCATACGACGGCCGAACGAGCTCCTGTCGTCCTCCTCACTGCCTTCACTCGCTTGCAATGACACACCCATGTTTTTACCCCCAAAACGCTCCCTAAAATTAACTCCACCCGCCACAACGGCTCTTTACCACAACGGCTCTTTACCACAACGGCTCTTTACCACAACAGCTCCCCCCCCCCCCCCTCCCCCTCCCAAAGGTCTTCCCCCTTCGGTCTTCACCGAAATGCATAAACACCCAGACATTCCATCCGACCCGCGCGGATTACCACGCAATGGCTTAACCGAACAATGCCTCCACAATAATCACTAGTACGTTGAGTATCACCAAAATAGCTGCAAAGGTAAGATTGGTACTGGAACAAGGTGTTTTTCGGAACAAGGTGGCCTTCGGAACAAGGTGGTTTTCGGAACAAGGTGGAAGGGAAGTCGTACGTCTTATGTAATTTCTGAAGGCATACAGGACAATTGATATTTGAAACTTTAGACCGCCTTCATCGGCAACTGGTCTGTCCAGCCCCCACTTCACCAACAGTCTCTTTTCATTCAAGATAGCGAGACCGTTCGCACCCAGGATAGATGCCTCAATAAGATGCCATAGGGAAAGCCCCATGATTTTTTGACAGTTGTAATTAATGTGATGGGCGGGAGAAGCCTAGACAACGATGAAATAGCAGCCCTTCTCGACCTCTCCTATTTATCCGATGAAAGCAAATATGACATCACAAGCTGTATGACACACACGCGCTCTCTTTGTTGCACGCAGTGTGTGCCGCACGTGTGTGCCGCACGTGTGTGAGAGTATATCTGTTTGCTAGCGGAGTGTAAGGAGTACATTCGTCTGAAGCATTTGTTGGGTGTTCTTCCGTCATTGCACAACATGCAGCAGGTGAATGACGTGTGTGTACAAATTGGCGAGTTGGGGGAATGTGAAAACATCCAGAATTTTCACACGTTGACACCGCTTATTGATGAGTGTAAATGGTCGTGTATGTGTGTGGCAATGATTGGAGGCATTACACAGAAGAATCATATAGAGAGGTTTAATCTAATAGCTCGGATAACTCGTGTTATGCGTAAAATAACGTTCGACCCCGTGATGGTGGATAGTGTAGTCAAGAATGCCATTACTCAGATCTGCCAGATTGGTCGGTCGACGCTTGTCACGGGGATTTTGGGGGACATGTTCAAGTGCAACAAGTGGCATGGAGCGTATTCCGTGAGCAGGAGGATCCTACAACACCTCTTCGAAGTATGGGTGTTGGCGCTGACTCAGCAGGAACAGTGGGACCACATTCTGGCTTATATTGCTGCCACTCGCGCGGGCCAGCAAATATTCAAGTACCCCGAGAACAGATACCCCGAGAACAGATACCCCGAGAACAGATACCCCGAGAACAGATACCCCGAGAACAGATACCCCGAGTGCGAAAAAAACACGGCGCCTCCTCGCTCGGGAGAGGCGGACACGCCGTCGACGTGCTCGCCCTCGAGCGCGTCGCCGTCGCCATTCGCATCCGCCAAGTCGCCGGGTCGAAACGGGACTTTGCCGGCATGGATGACCGCCGAATTTTTGCGTGCGCGAAGCATGCAGAGCGACAGCACACGGGGTCTAAGGATACCATGGGTGAGTGTGCTATCATACTGTCACCACTTATTGGACGTTGGCGACACAGAGAAGTTGCTGATGGTGTTGCCCTTACTGTTAGGCAAGTCGTGCAGCGACGAGGCGTGTGTGGACCGCGTCTGGCACCGCGACTTGTTCGAAGAGCAGAGTTTGGATTGCGAGGAACCCGACTGCGTATGTCACGACTGCAAAAGAATCGATAATGGCCTAGAACCAATTGTACGACCAGAACACGTAATCATCCGTTTGGATATGATGCGCTCAGCTGGCAAGGTAGACACCTTCAGCGAGTGCCCCGCAGGCTACGGACTTGACGCTCTTCTCATCCGGTTTGTTGCACAAGGAACACACGAAAGCGGAGCATTCGTCGACGACTGGCTTCAAGGCCTCGAATCACCTAGCATCAACTCACAGGATATGCTCCGCGTTATCCGGCAAGTCATCCAACATGCCGCCTGCCAATGCCGCGCGTATCAGCTGCTAGAAATCTGCTGTCGTATCGGAGAAAACTGTTTCGTCTGCGACCATGGGAAGTTTGCCAAACTTATTGCTGAAGAAGCCGCTGCCTCCAGCCATAGCAGCCGCTCCACCGACGACTGCAAAACAGACCTCCGACTCGATCCCGGTCTCGACGGGTCCGGAGTTGGCGCTGACACGTCCAAAGGTGGTGCTGAGTCGTCCAGAGGTGGTGTTGACTGGTCCAGAAATGATGCTGACTGGTCCAGAAATGATGCTGACTCGTCCAGAGGTGGTGCTGACTCGTCCAGAGGTGGTGCTGACTCCTCGAGGTGTGAGCCGGAGATAGGAGACGCACACGGGTGTCGCCTCTCGCCTCTCCACGAAGAAGCGGACGCGCGAACTTTTTCGAGCCAGCCCACTGTAGAAAGCCTCACGCCACGCGGTTACGGGGGCCCTTTCCACTCGCCCCGTTCGATTGCCTCCGTCCCGGCCCGGGTCGCCTCCGGCTGTGCAGCGGCCGGCAACCTCCACCCCGACCTGGAGGCGGGTCGGACTGCTGAGGGCAAGCCGGGATTTCTTGGAGCTGGAGGCACGGCCAGCCACAGCGTGGTGAGCTTGGCCAACTACAACATGGCCAGCCTGGCGGACGAACTTGTACATGCCCGTGACGGACTCGTCCGCGGCGAGAGAGTCTCGTTGAGGGCTGGCGCGGAGCTCCGAGAGCGTAGTTCGTGCATGTCGATGTTGAGTTCCACGTTGAGTTCAACGTTGAGTCCGAGGACACTTGGGAAAAGTGCACTGGTGGCGACATGTAGTTCTCCGGTGCTTGGAAGGCTATGTGTTCCGCCTGTGGAGGCTTTGATAAATCGGGTCTCTACTCAAATGGAGTTATTCCGTGAGGCGACAAGTGTCGTAATATCCGTAACAGAATATTATTTGTTCTGCGTGCTGGAGACGTATGAGCAACTGTGTGGTGTACCGTCAAGGCTACCGGGCATTACACCGGTGGATGTTATGATTGCTCCTAAGGCTCTGAATTTATCGGATAATCTATGTGAAGCGTTAATGCTGTCATTCTATCTCCTTCGTCCCACTCCGGTGGCCTTCCATGCGGAGACTCAGAACTTGCTGAATCGTTTTGCTGTTTATGGTAAAGCTGACCTGGCAGAGGAGAGTGCGCGTCACGTCTACCCTACGCTACTACCCGTCACCGTAGCCGAGTACTTCCCTGGCCCAATAATCACTTATGGATATGCAAACGCGCGCTATGTATCTGACGACCTTTTACGCTGGCGTTCTTTGATGTTCGAACTACTCGTGTGCATGTGCAAGGGCACTTACAGTCGCACTACTCTCATCGCACCACACCTAAGCGATTCTCTCTGTGAAAGCTTCATCCGAGTTTACGTCTCACAAAACAATCCACGAGCTGTACACCTCTCAGAACGGTTCGTTAGGAGGGCTCCACGAAAACTCACACCACATCTACTGCGTGCCGTCGAAGCTGACAACTTCTATTTCATACGACAGATCTGGCATAAGTCAGACCTGTCCCAAGATTTATCTGCACAAGCCACCATACTGCAGTATCTAGAACATGTCGGCGCCCGAGACGTGCTAGCTACCTTTGTAAAGACCTACCCAGTTTCCCTACGAGCTGTAAATTCAGTCTCCAGCTCCCTCTCAAGCTTCTACAATGATACCAGTCTTCACGACGCCTGTGCCCACGGATCCAACCATAGCACCGTCGACAGCAACCGCTGCAGCTGCAGCCGACACGGAACAGAATACCACCTTGGAACGCAACCAGAAAGAAGCCTACAAGGAGGAGCCCCGCAAGGAGGAAGCCGGCAAGGAGGGCCCCCGCAAGGAGGGAGCCGGCAAGGAGGGCCCCCGGAAGGAGGAAGCCGGCAAGGAGGGCCCCCGCAAGGAGGAAGCCGGCAAGGAGGGCCCCCGCAAGGAGGGAGCCGGCAAGGAGGGCCCCCGCAAGGAGGAGCCCCGGAAGGAGGAAGCCGTCCGGGCGATTGCCTGGGTGAACGAGAAGAAAGCCGGCAAGGTAGTAACCAAAGAGGCGACAACATGAATCACGACGACAGCAGGAGTTTCGATAGCGGCTTCCCTCGAAGTTTCGGGTCCCTCGCCGGTTGCGCCGACCTGCCGAGTGACCGACTGCCAGGTGGGCGCCGTGTGGAGGCCCTGGGTGGTCCAGCGTCAGGTGGCCCCGCAACCGGCGCCTCCGAGCAGGGTGGCAGGGGACTGCAAGACAGGGAACTGCAAGGCGATGGTTTGGCTCCCCAGAGCGGTTCTCAGGGTGGTCCCCAGAGTGTTCCTCAAAGTGGTGCGGAGTTGGGTTCCGAGATGCATGAGGGTCAGGGCGAGTGGTTGCCGCCGTGGTCGATGGCGGAGGCGTTGTTGGAAAAGGCGCAATATGAGGCATTGTTGGTCGCGTATTGTAGGCCTGTGTTGCCGGAGTCAAGTGCAGATGCGGCCGAGGTGGGAGCGCGAGCGTACGAGGCGGTGGTGGATGCAGCACTGGGTGTACGTGAGTACGTGCGTGCATTTCGTTACTTTGGCGAAATGACGGCGAGGTTCGCGCCGGATGCGCAAACGTGTGCGCAATTGCTGCGGCACGTGCATTTGTTACAGCCGAGGTTAGGTGAGGCGGCGACGACTGCGAGTCGGGAGCAGTTGTTGGCGTTGGCGCGAGAGTGTGACCCGCAGATGCGCGACTGTCACCTTTTTTCGGCGGTGGTAGATGCATTATCGCGTGTTAAGGAGACGGAGAGATTGGCGCGAGTGGTGGATGAGTACCGCCAGTCCCACCCCAAGCCGACGTTACTGGCGACGGCGACTTTGATGAAGGCTTATGGGCGCTGTGGGAATCGCGAAGAAGCATTACGTGTGTGGGTTTCAATTGAACATCTGAATCATCGCGACGAATACATTCAATCCTGCGGCATTGACGCCCTCGTTTCGCTGGGCGAACTAGACGAGGCGTTGGCCATCTGGAAGAACTGCATGCGCACCGGAGTCAAGCTGGCAGAGCCGGCACAGTCGGTGCTAATTCGAGGTTGTGTGACTCGCGGACGGATTTCCGAGGCACTTAAAATATACGAAACCATGATCAAGAAGAGACAGTTCCCTTGCGATATCACGTGTAATTACCTGATGCACGGTTGCACAAGCCGACGACGACTCGAAGACGCTCTGGCCTGCTTCAGCGATATGGCCAAATTCTCAGCACCTGACACTGTTAGCTACAGTACTATCATTAAGGGTTTGTGCGACAAGGAAAAAAATAGTCTAGCCCTTGAAATGTTCTATCAAATGGAGTCCAAAGGACTAAAGCCAGACATCATTACCTACAACACACTCATGGAAGGATTCAGCAAAGCCGGTGACCGAGCCATGGTAGAAAAACTTTACGCACAGATCATCGAAAACGGACTACAACCATCTTGTTACACACTCACCATCCTCATCAAATTCTATGGACGAATCAAACTACTCAACAAGGTGTTCGAATGCTTAGACACCATGCCCGCTACACATGGCTTTGAATGCGATCAATTCGTCTATACATCCATCATCGCCGCTTGCACCTGGAACAGAAGACTAGATCTCGCCCTTAACGTCCTCGTCACAATGAAGGCCAAATTCAACATCTCACCACGGACATACGCTACAGTCATCGCAGGCTGTATCAGGGTCTCCGCCTGGGATACCCTCTGCGAAGTCCTATGTCTCTGTCTACAAGATGAATGTACTCTCAACAAACGACTCATTGCCAAAATCGAAAACCTCATACTCAAAGGAGGAATCAACATCAAAGAAGGTAACACCCACCAGTACTCACACCAGTACTCACACCAGTAGTCACTATAGTGACACCAGTAGTCACTCTAATGACACCAGTAGTCACTCTAATGACACGATTAATGCTTTGCTATGTAGCTACTCTGAGTCAGATAAAGCTCTTCTTGACTTTGTTGGGAACAAGGGAAAAACGCTAGGGGTTTTCCTGTATAGCTATTGAGGGATTTCTTTCGCAGGTATGGATCCGAGTTGGTTGCCGGAGAATCGTCGTCCTCATGCTCAGGACGTGGCATTTGAGTTGTTGGATTCTGGTTGTAGGCCTGCAGGTTGTTGTGAGAACACTAGTTGCTCGAAGGTGACAGTGAGACCAGACATTCCGGAGCAGGTTGCATCATGTGCAGATGAGTTGCCAACAGGTTGTTATTACTACGCTAAGGCAGTGGCGAACGTGACGGGGGCATTGTGTCATCATGAATCGTTATGGAGTTCGGCAAGTGGTGTGTGTTTTGATCTAATGGGATTGGGTGGATGGCAGGCACCGATCTATTCGTTATGGCAGATTCACAATGCTTATACCGAAGGGTGTCGGCACATGCAGTTTTCAATGCATCGAAATGTGACCAATGTGGATAAGGCAGCATTACGCAGTTGTTCCTTGGTCAGATAAAGATGCCATCCTTCCATCCACGGAAATGCTCATGGAACGCAGTCGAAAACCGCTCGCCATGTTCACACCACAGACCATTTCCGCACCTCCTCCACCTGCGGTCACCACCATCCGCGTCCACAGTAGCGAGGAAGACTGTGTTTTCCATTTAGACAACTACTTCGAATTCCCCAAACTCCAGCTCCCTCTACGCCTCATAGTCACTTCCGCACCAGCTGTTCTTCAATACATACAGGATGCCATGAAGAAACAAGACGCAACGCTTGACCACACCACAGTCGCTCCTGATAACACACTCCTGGAGCAACTGTACTCAGAAATGGTCACCAGCAGGACGCCAGATATCCTTCACCAAACCCCTCACGACCTCTGGACTCCGGACTCGTCTTCAGCTTCCGGCACAAACTCGAATCACGTATACCACCCGGGCAGCATCAAGGTGACTTCGGGCCAGGGACTTTGGGACAATGTCACACACGACCAACTTGTAGCCATATACACTGACTATGTACGCAGCCACATTACTGGACCCGACAACAAAACTCCTGGCGAACTCCGACGACATGGGTATCTCTCGGCAGTCTCAGGCGCCTCCGTCACCAGCTCTTTATCACAATCCAGACGCCTCTCTCCTCTGATCCGTCCGCCGTTCTCCCGTCGACGGATACCGCTGCTCCTTAGCCACCACAACCACCGCAGCCTAGAGAACTCCGCAACGCTCAATTCCCACTTGGTTTTCCTTCTCATATTCCTGACATTGTACTCTCTACTAAAGTAATACCACCACCGTTCATGCCGCCGCCGTTCGCCGTCTCACTCAGTCCAATGAAACCACTCATCTCAAAGTCCCACGCCGGGCCAACACTTTCTTTGTAACGACCACCATAACCGAACTCGCCACCGCTGTGGTGGCACTCACCACCGCTGTGGTAGTATTGACCACCACTGCGGCCACCACTGTGGCAGTACTGGCCACCACGCTGGTTCTGACCGCCGCGTCGCTGCTGATAGCTTTGACCGCCGCCATATACGCCCTCGCGAGGCTGGCTGCGTCGAAAAGACTCTCCACCAGTCCGCCCGGATCTGTACGACTCAGCAGCCGCCTCCTGCGGCAGCATGGGACCGATGGCCCGTCCTGGTTTTCTTCGGCTGCGACGGCTCCTCGCTTTGGCGCCATCTTGTCGCTCGACACCCGCGGCTGTCTTCGAAGGGTTTGAGGCCAGCAAGGAATCAACCCAGTCGGGGACGCCCTGCGAAGGAACAGCGGTTCGTCGTTCCCTCTCGGAACCGAGGGGCTTCTCGTCGAGGCGTAGGACGTCCAGCAGACTGAAAACCAGCGCGTCCGCCAACACCTCGATTTCCTGGGATCCAGCCTGGTCCTGGGATCCAGCCGGCTTCCGGGATTCAGACTGCTCCTGCGATCCAGCCTGCTTCCGGGATTCAGCCTGCTCCTGCGATCCAGCCTGCTCCTGGAATCCAGCCTGCTCCTGCGATCCAGCCTGCTCCTGCGATCCAGCCTGCTCCTGGGATCCAGCCTGGTCCTGCGATCCAGTCTGGTCCTGGGACGCAGTCGGCTCCTGGGACCCAGCCTGCAGTCTGCGACCCGTCTGCTGCTTCGTCGAAACAGCCTGGTCCTCGTTCGAACCACCGCCGAGCCGAACACCTGTCGGCCGACCCGTCGACGACAGACCTGTTAGCCGGCCTCCCGAAACGCTGTTAGGTTGCTTGTTTGTCGTCTGAACACTGTGCCCTCTTGGACGAGCTGCTGCGTGAGTCGTTCCGTGAACGTCTCCCTGTCCGGGAGAAGGTTGTAGCTTGTTGCGACCATTTCTGGAAGGTTCTTTGGCTGAGGGGTTGTTTGGTGGAGATTGGCGAGCTGGCCTCGAGCCGTCGGGAGGGCCCTGCTTGCTTTGGTCATTGGAGGATATGTTTTGTTTCTTGGCTTGAAACGCTTTCTTGATATCGTCCAGCCAGATACAGAACTCGTCATGGAGCAAAGCCTCGAAAGGTTCAGCGGTGTCTTCGAGAGAGACACGCGGTGTTCCCACAGCCATCGGACTTTTTCTCTCTGGAACATCTCCTCTCCTCGACGGGCTTACTATCCCAGCAGGTCCGAAGCATCTGGCTCTGGGTATTCTATGACCCCGCAAGTTGGCTGTGGAATAGTTAACGATAAATGTGGGACCCGGAGTTTGCCGGAAGCATAAGTCCACGACCAGCGGAAGGTGGTCGCTAACAGGAAACATTTTGCAAGGAATCTGGACCACCTTCTGCATCAACGAGCAGGGTGCTTGGGAACATATTCCGTGGACTACCATTTCATTTGGAGAATACCAAATGTAGTCGATACAACCGGACTGCTTCCCATGGAAGGCCGTGTAGCAAGGCTCCACCAGCTGAGATCCATTGCTGGAGATGCAGTAAGCGGACTTTATATTGAGAGGATTCACCCAACAATTGGGCGACCGTCGTAATAGTTGCTGAATGAAATTATTCCAACTGTCCTGCGTCATACCAAAGCGTGTTCCTTCGAACTGGATGGTATTCCTGGCACGGTTTTCACCACTGGCCTTGCCTGCCTTATCCTTGACAAAATACGCGTTGGTAGGCAGATTCAACGCGAAGGATCTAGACCAGTCGGAGACCTGGTCAATTGGACCGATGGATTCCATCCACAACGGCGTATATCCCGTACGTTTGTCCCCGCAATCAGTGGTGTGTCGGTGGACGGCGCTACCTACATCACCCCCTAGGTAGCCGTTCTCCAGACGAATGGGTCGTTGCTTAAGATCTTCAACACATGCTTTAACGAACGCCGTGTCAGTAGGTAAGTCAATCCTTGACACCTCGTTCTGAGTTCGTTGTCCTTCAAGCCTCTGAGCCTCATGTACAAAAAGGGCGTTTTGGCCACTTAATAGCCTCTGTTCGTAGGACCTGTATGAGTGCCCGGGGGAAGGGGGGCCGCTAAGTGTAAGATGTGCAACTTGTTCTATCGCGACATCGTTTGTTCGATGTATAAGCGAGGAATACAAAGGCGACATTGGAGTTAGGTTCAGATCACCACCCCAGATGACACCCGGTAGGTCGTCGTAAACATCAACCCAGATACCATCAGCGTTATAGCATGTGGTGCCTCTTTTTGCAAACTGAATTCGAAGACGATGAACCGCTTGCAGTATCGAACAAATCTGGAAATATTTGACATCAGACCGACCACAGTTGAATACCAAGTGGCTAGAAACTACCACCAGTCGTTTCTTCCCGCCTGAGACGTTGTTTGTGGTAGTATTTCCCGCCAAGTCCGAAGCGCCAACAGAATCCCTAGTTTCTAACACCGTCGCCGTGGACCTCAAAATCCGATCCAACGACGAACTCGGAAGGGGTTTGATAGCGCAATAATATAAACACTTGAATCGTGTCTCATTCCATATTACCCCCGTCCCGTCTACTCGACGGTTCCCGTGATGCTGGTTATAACAACCATTATATTCCGTAACAGAAGGCGGAACAGAAGCTGGAGCAGAAGGAGGTCCACAGGGCGGCGACTGCCCTACAGGAGGAGCCGTGGAGGCGGAGACAATGCTGGGTCTCGAAGGAGGGGCTGAACGTTTGTTTAACCTCGATATAAGGTAGTTGAAATCAGCTGGCTCTATCTCCTGCAACGTAATAATGTCAGGGGAGAAAGTTTTGATTTCGTTCACAACTCCATCTCGTCTCCTCTTGGCGTCTAGCGATTTGCGATCACAGTCTCGGTACCAGGCCATGTCAACCAGCGAAGGGGCTAAGCAATTAAAGTCCATGACACGGAATGGGTAGAACTGCCAGAGGAAAGCATCATGTGTTCTTGGGCGCTGTAATCGCGTGTTCGAAACAAACGTGTTCGAAACAAAAGTGTGCAGCACACACGTGTGCGGCAACCGACTCGGCGTGTTCAACGCACGTGTGTCAGAGAGTCGAGGACATTTTTATACCAGCTCCGATACCCGGTTAGCTCAGACATTTTCCAGTCAAGAATTGCGGCATCTCCAAAATTATGGGTAATGCACAAGGACTACCGAACGATGGACAACAGCAGAACCGGGATCGCGAACAGAGCAGGAGGCTGGAGACCCAAAAGCCGGCGGTAAGTACCGGCTTCGGAAGGAGGAAGAAGAAGTCCCAAGGTACCGTGCAGGCAATGAGGATACCGAATAGTAAGTGACGGTCCCGGGGGCAGGGCTGAGGGTCTTGAGAAGAGCAGGAGCTGTCTCCGAGATTAGGGGTAGGGTGAAATGTTATTTGTTTAGTATCCCCTAGTGCTCGTTGTTTGTTGCGTCAGTTACGATTGGAGAGAGTGAAAGATTACATGGCATTGGAAATGGATTATGTGTCTACGAAGCAGGATGAGGCTGAGTCACATGCTCGGCAAGAACAGGCTAAGGCATTGGTAGCTGAGTTGCAGGGTAGCCCTTTGACAGTGGGTACGTTGAAAGAGATAATAGATGAGAATCATGCGATCGTATCTTCCTCAGTGGGACCGAACCATTATGTTCCTATTCTGTCTATAGTGGACCCAGAGTTATTGGGTCCTGATGCTAACGTGTTATTACATCATAAGGCTATGGCTATAGTGGGTGTGCTGGAGAACGATGTTGACCCATTGGTGTCTGTAATGAAGGTGGATAAGGCTCCTTTAGAATCGTATAAGGACATAGGTGGTTTAGAGAAGCAAATTCAGGAGATTAAAGAGGCAGTTGAGTTACCTCTATTGCACCCTGAATTATACGAGGATATCGGCATCAAGCCACCTAAGGGAGTAATTCTATACGGGCCTCCCGGAACTGGGAAAACTTTACTAGCAAAGGCTGTAGCGAATGAAACCAGTGCTACCTTCCTACGTGTCGTGGGTTCCGAACTTATCCAGAAATATCTCGGAGACGGTCCTAAACTCGTTAGGGAAATGTTCAGGGTGGCGGAAGAGCATGCGCCATCAATTGTCTTCATCGACGAGATTGACGCTGTCGGTTCTAAAAGGTATGAGGCCCATAGTGGTGGTGAGAGGGAAATCCAAAGAACCATGCTTGAACTTCTTAACCAACTTGATGGCTTCGATACCAAAACTGATGTCAAAGTCATCATGGCCACCAACAGGATAGACGCGCTAGACCCTGCTCTTATTAGACCCGGAAGAATTGATAGAAAGATAGAACTACCTTCCCCGGATCAGAAGACCAAAAGAAGGATCTTCGACATCCAAACTACCAGAATGACTCTAGACACCGACGTAGACCTGGAGGAATTCGTTATGGCCAAAGACGATCTCAGCGGCGCCGATATCAAGGCCATATGCACTGAAGCCGGACTCCTGGCACTCAGGGACAGGAGAATGAAAGTCACTCAAGATGACTTTAGAAGAGCTAAAGACAAGGCCCTCTACCGGAAAAAGGGAAAGATTCCAGAAGGATTATACATCTAAATCGTCCCGCTGGTCCGCACCAAGTTCCCGCACACCCACCTCTTTTCTTTCCTTTAAAGTATTTTTCCAAACGAAATTCTGGTTGCGTGTGCGCGACCGAGTAGTGCTTTGCATTTATAACTTCACGTAAGTCCAATTGTTGTGGGCAGAGTTAAAAGGGAAAAAATCTTTGACGCTTACGAAATGATAAGAAGCGACCAGTGTACGTGCTGAAGTCATATAGATCATCCAAAGTGGTGATTGGCCTCATTGATCTAAAATCCACCACAATAGACCCAAACAGCACATCCAGGATGCTAGACCATTGCTGGTGGATTTTCTGAAGGGAACGCTTGTAATTTGTGTGCATGGGTAATATTTATGGATGTAATAATTTTGAGGAGCAAGAATTGTCGCACCATCTGAAGTTATCCCCCTCAAGTTATCCATCTGAAGTTATCCCTTTGATTCATATTTCTTCGATTGATGTTTTATTGATTCATGTTTCTTGGATCTCCTTTTATGCCTATGTCGTTTTTCCTTAGGTTCTATTGGCACCACATTATATTCGACCTCGTTCGGATCCTCGGCAACATTTACTTGGGTACAAGTATTAAACGGCCACCAGGCATGCCAGTTGATCTCTATAGGTCTCTGTAAGAGGCCTGCTTGAATGAGTGCGCCTGCCATAGAGCTTAATGCGCCATTAGTATTCTTCTTCTGTCGTTTCAACCTAACCTTTTCCTGCAACTCCAATGGCCTATAACTAATTCTATGGTGCTCACAAGACCCGGTAATATCCGTTCTTAACTGACCATCTGCCATCTGCACAGGATTATCATGAGCAATTTCTATCAAACGTAAAATCGCCTTACCAACCACACTCTTCGAAACTTCGCCAGGCTGACATAACAACGATTTCGGAACGCCCTTGCCATCCATCAGAAATCTTGCGCACACATCAGCAAAGTGGTTGCAATTCCATTCAACCAGATCGTACGTTTCGGGAGTGAAATCATGGTCTATGTCACTTAAGAATCTGATAGTCAAACTAATCGTGCTGCTAAGTAATGTGCTAACTAATCGTGCTGCTAAGTAATGTGCTAACTGATCGTGCTGCTAAGTAATGTGCTAACTAATCGTGCTGCTAAGTAATGTGCTAAGCAATGTGTTAAGTAATGTGCTAAGTCGGAATTGTTCTTACTTTTCGAATGTCTTTCTACTCATGGTGGTTGTTCCCAGTAGCTTGGTAATGTCAGGAGTCATTCCTATTTCTCTTTCCACTAAGGCGGGATTCATCCTCTCGATATAGCCACCTGAAGATCATAACGAACGATAATAAATGCTCTCTTCTCGGCCATCCCCACGGACGGTTTATATGCACCCACCCATCTGTTCAGAAATGGACCAGGGAACATTAGGCAGGAGGGAATGAACAGAGTGGGTACCGAAGGTCTAAGGTGTGGCAGCCATACCGTAGAAGTACTCGAAACCGTAGACCTCCACACTCGAATGCCATATACCTCGGATGGGTTTCTTAAGTAATAGCGGACTCACTGCAGCCGCCTTTCCGTCACTTAGGTCGTACACCTTCAACCAAACCTCATCACCTGGCATGCTAATTTATAGACACTAATTCATCAATTGACCCTCCTCCCTGACTTCTTCGTGGCCCAGACAAACCCCTCCTCTTTGGCCCCTCTGCTCGACTTAATCCGAACGAGCTTGGCGCCAAGATTCTGCCCTTTAGTCCTTGCCCCGCTACTTTATCCCTTACACTGTCAACTGCCCAGGCTCCCGCGCCACGTGGACCCAGGATGTGAGCGATCCATGACACAGTTGTAGCTGACGATCTCCCGGCCAATTTAAATTTGGAGCGGAGATATGCCTCCGAAGGACAAGAGAAAGCGCGGGCATGCTGATATATTAAGCCGACGAGAGCTACAGGCCGAGGAACTAGCGGATTCCCATGGGTAATAACACGTATCCCTTGTCGTCCAATATCCGTCTGAATGTTTGCACGCGCGTGTGCACACGCGTGTGCCCGCTCGTCTGCGCGCGAACGTTGCCCGACTATAATCATAGCGTGCTCCCCAGCTTGCCCACAGCTTGCCGACAGCTTAGTATTTAACTTGTCCTGGTTTTCAGTTTTATTGAGGCGGAACATGAAGGTGAGAAGACCGTGGATGTGACTCAAGAGGATATATTGGCGGAGGTGGAGCTTGGTGTGACTAAGAATAAGTGGACCGAATTCGGTTTATCTCGTGGTCCTTATACGTTGGATTTCACGGATGATGGGACTCATTTGCTGCTGGCTGGAGCTACGGGTGAGGCGAGGTTGTATGACTTGCGCGGTAGACGTCGGAAGGCGGGTCCGACGGAGGTGGTGCGAGTTGCGTGTAACGAGACCATCCGAACGGCAAGGTTTTGTTACAATTCGGCATGTTGGGCATTAGCTCAAAAGAATAGTCTGTGTCTATATGACAATGAGGGTGTTCGAATTCACGACTTTGATCGTAGTGACAGTTGCACCTCTATAGATTATTTGCCATATCATTTCTTGTTGGTGTCGGCTAAGGGTGGCCGTGGATTCATAGAGTGGCGGGACTTGAGTACTGGAAAGTTTGTAGGCACCAATCAAACGAAATATCTGAGTCCTAGGAAGGAAGCGTTGAGGCACAACAGGTACAATGGAGTTTGCTACACTGCTCATACCGATGGGATAGCTAGGTTGTGGACCCCAACCCTTAAGGAAGAGGCCTTGAGCTTCTTTGTTCATGGGTCGGGCACTAATTCAGTTGTTCCGTTCCGTGATCATTTCCTGGCAACTGCCAGCAACGATAATGTGGTTAGGATTTTCGACATTAGGAACCCAACAAGCAGCCTCGCAGTACATCGACTGAAGAGCACTGGAGAAGTTTCTATGGACGTGTCCCAATCTGGACTGCTGGCCATAGCTCAGGGACCCAGGGTAGTCATTTGGAAAGACGCCAACCGCGTCGTAGTACCCTCCGCCACCACGGAAACCAAGCCGGTCGCCGGCAGCTCCAGAGGTCGTTGGACTACAGAGGACGGCATGTATATGAAACACCAATACGTTAATGGACTTCGTTTCCACAGCGTCCGATTCAGACCCTTTGAAGACGTACTTGGTTGCGGTCTCACCCAAGGCATGGAGTCCCTAATTATTCCCGGAGCAGGCTATGCCAACCTCGATACTCTGGACAACAATCCCTACGCAACCAACAAGGAAAAGGCACGCGCCCTAGTTCGCAGGCTATTGGATAAATTACCAGCGGATACTATCATTCTGAACCCGAAAGCATTTTTCTCAGTCAAGAAACCCCGGATCGTCGCGTAGAAAAGAGTTTCGTCCTGACGAAGGATGGCCCGTCAGATTAACCTGTGTTTCGCCGACAAGTACAGCGCAGTAAAGGCACCACAGTAAAGGCACCACAGAGGCGGGGTGAACCTTTAATTACGGGCGGCCTGTTCGCCCCTTTTGACAATAAAAACGTGTGCGCACACTATTTGGGTGGTCAATCGACCGGTTGACGAGCATGAGTAAGCTTTTTCACGAAAGCCTCACCACTCAATTCGTTCTGTCAACTATACTCTCCTGTCGACTGAACTTTAACGACTGAGCGTTAACGCCAGTACTCTTCATAGTTCTTACGCAAACTTGCACGAAAAAGATTCATCTTTCCCGTCGCCGAGACCTTCGAGAATCCGGTCGCCCGGAGTACTTGTTTGTTCCACCTGAGAATATCCAGGAACGATATCCGGTAAGACGATATGCTCCGATAATGTAAATCTGCTGTTGGCGACACGCTCCTGAGACCTGGCAGAAAGCGTTTCTCCAGGACGCTCTAGCTTCCGGCCTGCTCTGTCTCGCCCCACAGAAACGCCCAGCGGAAATTAGGTGCCTAGTCTAGGGCGCGTAGACTGGGGTCTTGGGAACGCAAACTAGGCCGTTACACAGCTGTTCAATCGGAGCCACGTCCTACTGCGGAGTCACAGTGACGTGAACATGAGCCCCGGCTGGTTGCACGGGGGTTGGCTGCATAACGGGGGTTGGATGCATAACGGGGGCTTGTGGCATGGGGGCCTGCATCATGGGTGCCTGCTGCTGAGGCATTACGTGTACTTGCGGCTGCATCGGCGGTTGCTGAGGCTGTACGGGCGGTTGCTGAGGCTGTACGGGCGGTTGCTGGGGCTGCATCATGTGCTGTTGCATGGGAGCGGTCTGCATGGGCATCTGCAGAGGTGCCTGTGCCTGCATCGGGGCAAGCACCGGTGTAGGGGCCGGAGCGGGTACGGCGTATGTGATTGCAGGATGCGCGGGGGCAACACCGGCCTGGGTCTTGGTTGAACGGATCTCGGTGTAAACTTCACCAGAAGGAAGGATCACGCCGCTGTTAGTATAGATGGTGCCGCTGGGTGTCCGTTGCACGACAGTAACGGGTGCCTGTAGTTGAGCCGGGTGTCTAGTAGCATTAGCATTAGCAGCGGTGGCGGCGGCGGCGGCCACGGAGTTAGTAGTCGGTTGGACGGCAGTAGTGGAGAGCCTAGGTTGTTCGGGTTTTCTGGTGGGGGTTAGACGAGGCGAGCTTAATCTCGGGGAGCTTAGTCGAGGTGACTCGTTGTTGGGTTGGTACTGGGTAACAATGATCTGTTGTTGAGGCGACGATGGCGACGCCGTTGAGTCGGAAGTGGTGGAGTTGCGCTTTCTGCGAGGTGAGCCGCGCTGTTTGTAGATTGGTGCTCGCACGGCCGCGATCATCGCAGCCAGTCCCAGCATCACGCTTAGCACTCCTAGCACACCCGCCAACGCAACAGTCGTGTAGGTCTCGCGACTCGTCCAGTCCTCGTAGGGCTCGTTCCACGGAAACAACTCGCGCAACATCCACGCCGACTCGTATACACCATACAGTGCCACTAACACCGCCGGCAACGCGGCAACCCGCCATGATGAACCTAATACTATTGCCATCGACGACAATAACGCACATGCCATACCGCCGTACAAACCGAAGAATAACATCACCGCAGCCACGCAAGGACAAAGGGTTGCCGTCGCAATGGCCCATCTAGGAGGTTGCTGTCTTGTCATAGAATCAATTCGAAAAACACGGAATTCAATACACCGAAATTCTCCACACGTGTGCGTGCGCCACCACACGCGGCAACCTGTCCACCACCACCCACCACCACCACCTTTCAAAAGACACCCACACTTCTTCTCCACCGACCAACCTACTTCCCAACATTTCTTCCCTCTCTATCCCTTCGGCCCGTACGCAGCACGTGCACACAGTCAAGAGCTCGCTCGGTCAGTCAAACAGTACAAAAAAGATGAAGACCATTGCGGAGGGTTAGAGGTCAACTCGCTTAGTGGCCGTGTGGTCGTCGCTATCTGAGTCTCGTTCGGCTTCCTTCTCTTTCTTCTTCTTTCTTTCTTCTTTAGCGAGTTTCTTTAAACGACGTTCTTCGGCTGCCTTCTCTCTGGCGAGCTTGGCTTCGAGTTTGGCTTGTGCCTCCTTGCTTTGTTCGTTAGTCTCGCCAGCGAAGGTGTCTTGTAGACTAACGGTGAGGTTGAAGACTGGTTTGGTATTGGTGGAGTCGTAGTCAACGGCGAAGAACCCGACACGTTCGAATTGGAAGGTTGTTCCAGGAACTTCCTGGGCTGCCGTGGTTTCAATGCGGCCCAGCTTGGTGACCAAACTATTGGGGTTCAAATTGTCAACCCAGTTACCCCCGTCATCGGGGTCGGCCTGGACGAAAAGACGATCGTAGAGTCGGAACTCGGCCTCGACGCTGTCTGCCTCACTGACCCAGTGAATAACGCCTTTGACTGAACGTTTCTCTGCGGGTGGAACCCCGCCCCTAGTCTGTGGGTCCAGTTCGCAATGCAACTCGACCACCTCATCCCCGTCACCCTTGACCACCTGCTTACACTTGATCCAGTAACTACTCCTCAGTCTTACTTCCTGTCCAGGAGAAAGCCGGTGCCACTTGGGTGGTGGGACTTCCGCAAAGTCGTTTCGGTCGATGTAAATGACCGGACCCATTTTCACCTCCCGGGTGCCCATAAGCTCATCCTCAGGATGGTTACGTAGCGCCACCAACTCCGTCTCACCCGTGCCGCAGATCTCAGTCCAATTAGTTAGCACGACTTTCAGTGGGTCTACTACGGCCAGGCGTCGGGGTCGCGGGTGGAGAGCTTCGCGAACAATAGCTTCCAGTTTGAACATAGGGATCGTGTTGTCACGTTTGGCCACTCCCACGCTGTATGCGAATTTGCGGACTGCACTGGGGGGATAACCGCGTCTTCGACATCCAGCCAGCGTGGGCATGCGGGGGTCGTCCCAGCCGCTGACATAGTTCTCCTTGACGAGTTTGAGGAGGCGCCGTTTGCTCATAACGGTATGCGACAGATTAAAGCGGGCGAACTCGAGCTGTTGCGTCTTGAAGATACCCAGTTTTTCTTGGAACCAGTCGTAGAGGATGCGATGGTCATAAAATTCTAGTGTACAGATAGAATGAGAAATATGCTCGATACTATCTGACTGACCGTGCGCGTAATCATAGATCGGGTAGATACACCACTTGTCACCCGTGCGCGGATGGGATGCCCTTTTGATGCGGTACATTGGCGGGTCACGCATCGACATGTTCGGGTGAGTCATGTCGATTTTCGCCCGCAAAATCGCCTTGCCATCTTCATATTCGCCCGCCCTCATGCGTCTGAACGCCAACAAGTTTTCTTCCACAGCGCGCGTACGGAATGGCGAGTCCCGACCCGGCTCGGTCAGACTACCGCGATTGATCCGTACTTCCTCCTCTGTCTGCTCATCCACATACGCCAACTCCTTTTTAATCAATTCTTCCGCCCATTCGTACAACTGCTCAAAGTAGTCCGAGGCGTAAAACAAATTATCGTGCCAATTAAACCCTAGCCATCGCACGTCCTGCTTAATACCCTCGATATACTCCTCCTCCTCTGCCGCTGGGTTCGTATCGTCGAACCTCAGGTGACACTTCCCCCCGTACTGTTTCGCTATACCAAAGTTCAGACAGATCGACTTCGCGTGTCCCAAATGCAACCACCCATTAGGCTCCGGTGGGAACCGCGTTACGGTATACTCTAGCTTCCCCGCTGCCAATTCCTCGTCTATTATTTGTGTTATGAAGTTGTTCAACTTCTGCATATACAACTCGTTAACACACACACGTGTCAAACACACCAACTTACCGGTACTTCGATATCTTCATCGCATGGCGAGGGAAACTCCCCCTTTGCTGTCAGCATTTTCTTAAGAAAATTACCCGGAGATTGTGTAGGTCACGAACGCGTATTGGGCACGAACGCGTATTGGGCACGAACGCGAATTGCTTCACGAGAACGAATTGGTGCTGCACGTAGACATATCGGATAGTTGTTATTGATATTCCGGATGGATCTGTTGCCCTGGACTGAGAAGTATAGGCCCACTGCCGTGAATGAAGTGTTTGGTCATCGAGACATTATTACGACATTGGAATCATTTTTGAAAAGTGGGCAGCTACCTCACATCTTGCTTCATGGTCCCCCGGGAACGGGCAAGACGAGTGTGGTGCAAGCGATTGTACGAACGATGTTTGGTTTACAAATGGAATTACGTGTCTTGGAAATGAATGCTTCAGATGATCGAGGTATCGGAGTGGTACGAGACCAGATCAAAACATTCGTGGAAACGTCTATACCTGGGTCTCACAGGGCGAAGGAACTAAAGTATAAACCGGTTGAAGTGGACCCGACACGGTTGCTATTCGAGAATGGTATCAGTAACATGAAACAGGAAATAACCGAAGATGAAGAAATGCACGTCGAAGAAGAACCAGAGACCTCCAAACCAGAGACCTCCAAACCAGAGACCTCCAAACCGGAGGCCTCCAAATTGCCTGCACAAACAACTCTGATGTCTTTCTTTACTCCCAGAACAAATTCTAAAACGGAAAAGGCCTCTGCTAAAAAACCAAGCCCGAAAAGGGCATCCCCAATCCGCCCTAAAAGAACGCAAGTATCCATGGAAATTAACTTCCCCAATGCCCCTCAATTACCTCAAGACGATTCAGTTCATCCGAATCTACGCAATCTCAAAATCGTCGTACTTGATGAAGTGGATCAAATGACCTCCGTTGCGCAAACCGCCTTACGACGAAGTAAGCATTGCCGTGTGTATGTATCTGCGCCCCCATCCTGCCCCCCCCCCCTCCCCCCCCCCAGTTTATGTACCTCTGTCATCTTCCCCCTCAATTTGTGTGTGTGTGCTACGGACACACGTGTGCGAGCTAACGAACAAATATTGGTGAATATTTAGTCATGGAGAAGCATGCTGGCAATGCTCGTTTCTTTTTAATGTGTAATGAGATTACCAAGATCAACTTGCCAATACAAAGCCGTTGTACAAAGTTTCGTTTCAAGCCTATAGGCAAAGATTTCATGCGAGCGAAATTGGATATAGTGGTAGCCAATGAAAAGATTAGAATTGTTGAGGACGCCAAAAATGAGTTGCTGGAACGAGCTAAAGGTGACTTCCGTAAGCTCCTAAATACGTTGCAAACGTGCGTGATGCAAACGCAGTGGGATAGTTCATCGGGCCTCTCATACGATCGGATACAAACTGACACGGGACCTGAGTCCAATGGGACGGTCGCGGCTGAGCTGGGGGGTGAGCCACGAGGCGGTGAGCGAGGAATCATAACGAAGGCCGTTGTCAGGATGTCGTTGGGCCTTCCAAATGAGCAGGAGTTGAGCGGACTTATAAAGGTATTGAAGACTGAGAAAAATCCATTCCCGTCAGTATACATGCAGATACTACAGACTCTCCAGGAAAAGGGTGTTGCACTCTCCGATCTAGTTGAAGCGTGTTACGACGACATTTTGCAGACCACTCTCCCCAACAAAACGTACCTCACCATCCTCCCAAGGTTCGGCGACATACAATGCGCTTTAGCTGCGGGCGCGAGTCCCCAAATTCAGGCTGGCTGCCTTGTAGCCGCGTATGTCGAAATATCCAAAGACCTTCCCTGACAAAAGCTTTCCCAAGCCGACCCAACATCCGGCTGGCTGGCTGGCTGGCTGGCTGGCTAACTGCCTAGCTGCCTGTGCATCTGACGTTCGTTTGTATGGCGTGGCTTTTGTGTGGAACGGGAGACGCTACCCTCTAGTTCAGTTGGGGGGTCAAAAACGTTTGTTTCGTTTCTGATGGACTTAGTCATCTTGGGCGTGGTGGTGTGCATCTGGGGTAGCCACGGCCATGAAGACCAATGTTGTTGTTGTTGTTATGCCGGTCGGTGGTTGGGTTAAGCTTCGAGACCGACTCGTGTGTTGGTGAATCGGAAGGCGGCCCAGGCGACGATTCTCCAGCCGATGCCGATGGAGAATGCGACCCCGAGATTAGCGGCAGGCGAGAGTCCTTTGGGGAGGGGGGCGCATTGGTCGATGACGCCTAGGTCTCCGAATCGTAGGTCTAGGAAGCCTCCCATGCCATAGCGAATCCAGCTGACGTGTGAGATCCCACGCCAGAAAGTCGGGAGTGCGCTTTCTGTGATCCAGAGTCCGGAAAGCAAGATGGATAATATTACTCCCAGTGGCGCAATGGCACTGGCCCCAGGTGCTGAAGGGGCGACACAGCCGGAGAACATTGCCCAACCGCTGGCACTCCATGCCATAATGCCAGCCAGAATTAAATAGAAGAAGAAGAAGTTCGCTTGACTACCGAGATCAGCCAACCAATAAATAGCGAGTGTGTGAACAATCGGGAGGATACAAAGGAATGGGAAATCACCAAGCACCATTCCTAAAAAGGCCGACACCGAATTGTACAAACCACCCGCTTGCTCCCGATTGTATAACGGACGTAGGTCAGGGAAATCAATCCAATTCTGCAATGTCGAAAATGACATATTAATCGAACTAAACGCCACCACGCCCATCACATTAAAGTAGTTAACACAATCATAAGCATTCGTAGGCTTCGTTACGTGGAAGAAGATCAACCCAATAATAACTGACATGATGACCGTCACTGCCACCTGGATTAAAGTACTAACCCAGTTTCGAGCTCGGTTGAGTACATGACGATGAGTAAGCGTAGCAGTGTTCTTCAAAAATCTCCATACCGGATTCGCACCAGCACTTAAATACAAGATATGTGCCAACAGACATATGTGTGTGTCAACAGACACATGTGTGTGCCAACAGACATACGTGTGTGCGTGGATCTGAGTGGTGTAGACTCACTTAGAAGTAACAACATCTCCTATATCACCCACTTGCCGTTTCGCGTCCTCGACGTCGACAAGAAGCTGTTTTCCCCATGTAGTGGTCTCGAACGTGTCAGGCAAGACCAAAACCTCCGATTCAGGTATGACTTGTCTGCCACCACCTTCGACAACCTGGGCCATGTTATCCGGCGGTACAATGAAAGAGCCAGAGTTTTCGATAGGACCCACAAAGCTTCCTTTGCTGATGACACTGCCTAGTTTCGACAGTCGCTTAGACAACGACTGACGGACAGGTGGCTCTTCAACAACTGTAGAAACGGTGAGAAGATCCAACGAGAAATCTGCTACGTTGTTTCTAGGAGGTGGTGGGTACCCGATGGATATCCAGTACGATTTCATTTCTGACGCTCTTCCTTGATAGACCATCCTTCCAAGGGATAAAATGGCTAGACGATCAAAGAGGTTGAATATCTGGATTCTCGGCTGATGGATGGTAGAGATAATTGTTTTACCAGATGCAGCAAGCCCCTTAACAACGCTTAGTACATCAAAGGCAAGTGAGCTATCAAGTCCTGAAGTAGGTTCGTCTAGGAAAATGACCTGTGGATCTTCCAAAAGTTCGATGGCAATAGAAACCCGTTTTTTTTGTCCTCCTGAAACACCTTTCTTAATACGACCTCCAATGAGCACATGCCGACATTCCTCCAGTCCCAGCTGGCAGATAACCCGGTCGACGACAGCCTTCCGCTCGCTCTTACTTAATTTTGTAAGCTTCAGACTCGCCGCAAAGGTTATCGTTTCTTCAACATTCAGAAAAGGCAACAGACAGTCACTCTGCATTACATAACGACTAGCCTGCTTCAGCACCTTGTAATCTACCTGATGACCATTCAGGTAAATACGACCAGTCGGAATCGGCACCTTCCGTGCCACAACTGGCTCCTCCGGACCCCTCAGTCGATTCCGAGTCCGACCCGCTATAATGTTCAATAAACTAGTTTTGCCAGAGCCCGATGGACCCATTATAGCTAACAACTCCCCGGGCTTCGCCACCAAATTCACTCGATCCAGAATCCTCTTATCATGGGCCACAAATGACAACTCCTCCGCCAACAAGCAGATGCCCCTGTCCGCCATTACAAATTTAACCCGAAGAAATACACTACGACCACTATCACCACCACCACCACCACCACCACGAGGCAGCTACCCCCCCC